CCATTATTTCTTCAGATACTGTTTTTGTTCCTCCCTGTGCTATGATCTGATAACTCTATCTAGGTGGTGTCTGAGTCAGTCATGAGGCTCACCTGTTTGCTTCCCCGTTCTCTCAGGTATTACTGTCCTTTGTTGCGTGATGTCCAATGTTTTGAAAACCATTGTTTCATCTGTTTTGTTTTATAGTTGTTTCAGTAGACGGGTAAATCTAGTCTCTTATTACTCCAGTTTGACTGGAAATAGCAGTCAAATACTTATGATATTACCAGGAAATTAAACTGTTATCTGTATTAAAATCCTCACTTTTATATAATGTCACTTTTTGAACTCAACAAGGCAAGAATGAATGTGATAGTTGATGACTACTTACTGACCATGGAAAGAACTATGAGTTTACCCTGAATAAGGAATATAAGAGCTATTTGACTTTGGGTTTCTTTTTTTAACCTCAAAATTTTTTTTTTTTTGAGATGGAGTCTCTAGCTTTTTTGCCCAGGCTGGAGTGCAGTGGCATCATCTTGGTTCACTGCAACCTTCACCTCCTGGGTTCAAATGATTCTCCTGTCTCAACCTCCCTAGTAGCTGGGATTATAGGCATGCACCACCATGCCCAGCTAGTTTTTTTTTTTTTTTTTTTTTTTTAAGACAGAGGCTCACTCTCTTGCCCAGCCTGGAGTGCAGTGGTATGATTTTCACTCAGTGCAAACTCTGCCTCCCAGGTTCAAGTGATTCTCCTGACTCAGCCTCCTGTGTAGCTGGGATTACAGGGGTGAGCCACCGCACCTGGCCTTCAGCTGATTTTTGTGTTTTTAGTAGAGATGTTTTATGTTTTTACCACGTTGGCCAGGCTGGCCTCGAACTCCTGAGTTTCAGGGATTCACCCACCTTGGCCTCCTAGAGTGCTGGGATTGTAGGCACAAACCACCGCGTCCAGCCATAACCTCAGATGTTACTTAGAGAGTCAGATTTTATCTTAGTATAAGAATAGATATATTTTTTTGGCTGGACATGGTGGCTTATGCCTGTAATCCCAGCACTTTGGGAGGCTGAGGAGGGTGGACCACAAAGTCAGAAGATCGAGACCATCTTGGCCAACATGGTGAAACCTATCTCTAATAAAAATTAAAAAATTAGCTGGCCATGGTAGCACATGCCTGTAATCCTAGCTACTTGGGAGGCTGAGGCAGGAGAATCACTTGAACCAGGGAGTTGGAGGTTGCAGTGAGCTGAGATTGTGCCATTGCACTCCAGCAGCCTCACGACAGAGTAAGACACTTTTTTTTTAAGAGGATAGTGTGCATTCTTATTTGATTCTTATTAAGACATAATTTACATACCATAGAAGTCACCCTTTTTAGTGTTGTTTTTTTAAAAATAAATTATCCCCTTGAACTTTCTACTCTATTCCATTGATTTGTCTTTTCTAGTTTTATATTATTATTATTGTTTTTTTATTATGCTTTAATTTCTGTGGTACATGTGCAGAACGTGCAGGTTTGTTACGTAGTTATACATGTGCCACAGTGGTTTGATGCATCTATCACCCCATCATCTACATTTGGTATTTCTCCTAATGCTATCCCTCCCCTAACACCCTACCCCCTGTTATCCCTTCTCTAGCCCCCCACCCCCCAACAGACCCCAGTATATAATGTTCCCCTCCCTGTGTCCAGGTGTTCTCATAGTTCAACACCCACTTGTGAGTGAGAACATGCAGTGTTTGGTTTTCTGTTCTTGTGTCAGTTTGCTTAGAACAGGCGTCCCCAAACTTTTTACACAGGGGGCCAGTTCACTGTCCCTCAGATCGTTGGAGGACCGCCACAAACTGTGCTCCTCTCACTGACCACCAATGAAAGAGGTGCCCCTTCCTGAAGTGCGGCAGGGGGCCGGATAAATGGCCTCAGGGGGCCGCATGCGGCCCGCAGGCCATAGTTTGGGGATACCTGGCTTAGAATGATGGTTTACAGCTTCATCCATGTCCCTCTAAAGGACATGAACTTATCCTTTTTTATGGCTGCATAGTATTCCATGATGTATATGTGCCATGTGTTCTTTATCCACACATCTCTACCTCTCTACTCTAATCCCCTGGCAACCAGTAGTCTTATTTTCCATTTCTGTAGTTTTGCCTTTTCTAGAAAGTCATGTGAATTTCAGAATCTTACAGAATGTAGCCTTTTGATTCTGGCTTATCTCACCTAGAATAATGCATTTGAGATTTGTGTATGTTGGTTTGTATCAGTAATTCATTCTTTGTTCTTCTTGAGTAATATTCCATTGAGTTACTATATCACACTTTTGTAGTATCACTGGCTGCCAAAATAAGCACAAGCAGTTGAGTATATTTGAGGATGGCAAAGAAAGAGGATTTAGCCCTATTCTGATGGGAGATTTAATGATCTCAAAACTTCATTTCGTATCTTAAGTCTTAAAATGGCAATGTAAATGTTTTTACTTGGCAAGTATAGGTTGTTCACTTGACTTAAGAAGGGGATATATTGGAACATACTATGTTGCATACACAGATCCTGAATTTGTGGTCGGTGGAAACAAGATGTATTTGTTTTCCCTTAGTTTGGGGATATTGCTTTTGTCCCCTTCTTTTTTTTTTTTTTTTTACATATATTCTCTTTGAAGTTATCATAAAGTAATTAGCTTCTTTTTGAAGTTAATTTAATTCCCCTTATTTTTTCCCTGCCTCTCCAGTCTGCTCTGCTTCTTTTTCTTTGGTATATTATAGAAATAAGTCTAGTTATTTTAGAGTTGTTTTAACATGCAAGATTTAATTCTTACTTTTATTCATGTATTTCTCTAATTTCCTGTTGTAGTGATATCATGTGAAGGAAAATACTGGGGCTCTGGAATGAAACAGAAGTTCAACACTTGCTACTGTGTTTCTAACCTGAAAATTACCTTCCAAAACTCAGTTTTCTTATCTTTAAAATGAGGCTAAGTACCTATCTTTGAGGTTGTAAGGAATAAAAGAGACAGAGTATGTGTTTTTAACACAATATGTAGTAAATACTTAATTTTTTTTTTTCTTTTTTCTTTTCTTTTTTTTCTTCTCCATAAGAAGAGACGGAGTTTCGCTCTTCTTACCCTGGCTGGAGTGCAATGGCGCGATCTCGGCTCGCTGCAACCTCCGCCTCCTGGGTTTAGGCAATTCTCCTGCCTCAGCCTCCTGAGTAGCAGGGATTACAGGCACACGCCACCATGTCCAGCTAATTTTTTGTATTTTTAGTATAGACGGGGTTTCACTATGTTGACTGGGATGGTCTCGATCTCTTGACCTCGTGATCCACCCGCCTCGGCCTCCCAAAGTGCTGGGATTACAGGCTTGAGCCACCGCGCCAGGCTTTTTTTTTTTTTTTTTTTTTTTTTTTTTTTTTTTTTTTTTTTTGATACGGAGTCTCACTCTGTCGCCAGGCTGGAGTGTAGTGGCGCAATCTCGGCTCACTGCAACCTCCGCCTCCTGGGTTCAAGCAATTCTCCTGCCTCAGCTTCCCATATAGCTGGGACTACAGTTGCATACCACCATGCCCAGCTAATTTTTTTGTATTTTTAGTAGAGATGGGTTTCACCATGTTAGCCAGGATGGTCTTGATCTTCTGACCTTTTGATCTGCCTGCCTTGGCCTCCCAAAGTGCTGGGATTATAGGCTTGAGCCACAGTGCCTGGCCAGTAAATACTTAATTTCAAATGTCACCAAATAAATTTTACCAGTCCCTTTTGTATTTCCACTTAAATAAGATCCTATACAGATCAGCAGTTTTTTAGAGTTTGATCAAGGGCTGAGGAAAGTATGTACTTTTTTTGTACTGTTAACATAGAACCATAGTGTAGTTTGGAGATTGTGCAGTCCAGACTTACCATAGGGAAAGTTCTTTTTACCACCTTCTAGAAAGGACTCTGCTTTTACCTAATGATGAATTTAAGCTTTAAAATGTTTAAGAGGTATTCTTTCAAACAATGTCATTAAAAGAATACTTGAGGTTTTTAAATGTAATAGCTAATGAAGGAAACAGGTTTGGATTGAGATTGTTATATATCTGCTCTTTACCAAATTGGCTTTTCTACCATCATTCCTCAGTATTTTGTTCTAGTTCTTTTTTTAAAAAAAAAAATTTATTTATTCTTTTCTTTTTTTTTTTTTTGAGACAGTCTCCCTCTGTTGCCCAGGCTTGTGTGTGGTGGCATGATCACGGCTCACTGCAGCCTTGACTTCCTGGGCTCAGGTGATCCTCCTACCTCAACCTTCCTAATAGCTGGGACGACAGCCGCATGCCACTGTGTCTGGATAATTTTTTTTTTTTTTTTTTTTTTTTAAGAGACAGGGTTTACTCCCTGTTGCCCAGGCTGGTGTCAAACTCCTGGGTTCTAGAGATCCACTTGTCTTGACCTCCCAAATTGCTGGTATTATAGGTGTGAACCACCATGCCCAGCCATTATTTATTTTTAATTCTTATGGGTACATAGTAGGTATATATATTTATGGGCTACATGAGATATTTTGATACAGGCATGCAATGTGTAAAAATCACATCGTGGAAAATGGGCTATCCCTCCTCTGAAGCATTTATCCTTTGTATTACAAATAATCCAGTTATATTTCTAGTTATTTTTAAATGTTCAATTATTATTATTATTATTATGACTTGTTATAGTTCTGATATGCTACTTTATAATACTTTTATTTGGCTTTCATTTTGTGACTTGATTGGGTAAGTCTTTGTTCTGGAGAAAAGTTCTCAGTCTAAAGGTAGGGAAATGTATTTATTTTAGTTCTGCTACTCAGGGAAATCCGGTAGCAATAATTTTTCTTAGAGTTTTGTTACAGAAATTACAGTTAAAAAACAGAACTCGCATTATCCTAACACATACCTTACAGTTGCAGTTACATATTCTTAATCTTATAAATGTTTGTTGGACGTTATTAATGAATTGAGATGCCCTCTAATACATAAAACAAGTCAGTTTTATTATCACTTAACGTTTTCCAGATGAAGGTAATGAAACAGAAGTGCAGCCACAACAAAACAGCCAGTTAATGTGGAAACAAGGTCGACAACTACTCAGACAGTAAGTGTCCCAAAGTCGAACTTAAAAATGGTTGAAGACAAGAAACATTTTTACAAAGTTATTTTTACTGTGTATTTTCAAGTCAGATGAATATTTTATCTCTTATTATTATTAGATGGATGCTGTGAAAAACCTTAATTGAATTACTGTTCCTTTTTCATATTAAATACTTTTTCTGTGTGGTGGAATTTATATAGTTAAAAGAATTCTATACCTTTAAAGTTATTCTTTTCATTGCATCTTTTATGTATGAATATAAACATTTTAATATATATGCAGTTGGTGTTTACATGCAATTTTGTTATGTTTTAAAACTTTTAAATAATTGGAGAACTTTTCGAATTCTCCAAATTTGCAAATACTGCCTAACATATACTTTATTGATTGATTGATTGCTTACTTGATTGAGACTGAGTCTCACTCTGTTGCCCAGGTTGGAGTGTGGTTTCATGATCTTGGCTCACTGCAACCTCTGCCTCCGGGGCTTAAGTGATTCTCCTGCCTTAGCCTCCCAAGTAGCTGGGACCACAACTGTGTGCCACTATGCCTGGCTAATTTTTTTGTATTTTTGTAGAGATGGTGTTTTGCTATGTTGGCTAGGCTGTTCTGGAACTCTTAACCTCAAGTGATCTGCCTGCCTTGGCCACCCAAAGTGCTGGGATTATAGGTGTGAGCCACCACACCTGGTCAACTTTCTTCCATAAAATATTAATGTATTTGCGACAACAAAGAGTAAACAAAGATGGATTGAGGTTCTGATATCAAGAGGTAGACTAGATTCACTGACTCAGTGCCTAGTTCTTGAATACACCTTTGAAATGCCTCAGTAAAAGGAAATTTGCTACCTGTTGTTTGAAGGTTGATTATAAGTTGTTTAAACCCAAGGTTTCCAAAGTAGATGTGTAGCAGCTATTCCTTTCGACTATGGAAAGAGAATCTTAAAATGTCTTCACATATCTATTTTTTAACATAGACAGAAGAAAATTAGATATTTTCTGATATTTAATAAGTGGATTTTTACTAATGCCCACACTTTGATCTTAAATATGACTTAAAAATTTTTCCTTTTTAAAATAAGTGTGTTCTTAGAATGCTAATTTTTTTTAACAAGAAATGATTTCATAATGAGCTATACAAGAAATATTTTCAGAAACTTTAAAGGACCCATAATTCTTCAGAGTAAAGGTGTCATTTTATCAATGAATGAGGAAGTAACTATTTAGTAAAACCAGCTTATCTATGGCAAGAGCAGTTTTGAAACAGAGATTTGTAATGTGATTTTGTTGCCAAAGTGAGGTATGTCTCAAATATTATTTGTTAAAAATGGAAAAATATAACATCTTTGAAGCAGTTTTCAAGAAGAACTTTAGGGAATTAGGGTATTTATTAATCTAAATTTTAATAGAGACCTCTCTATAAATATTGGATGGGATTGAAAAATGAGCATCTTGATTTGATAAGATACACTTAATTCCCTTTGATCAAGTATATTTTTGAGATAGATCTTTCAACTGTGATAACCAAGACCAAATCTTGCAGTAAACTTAAACTACTTATCTCATCAACTTTTGTTTTCTTCTTTCATCCAGTAGACTCAGTGCCTGCTTATAAGTTTATGTCTAATGCTTGTCTATCATGTTTACTAATGGCATTTACCATTTTCATGGTCCTGCCACTGCCACTTTGGCCTTTTTTGGTCGACTTTCATATTAATATGTATTGAGTGCTTTTTACATGCCAAGTACAATATTAGGTATGTCTGTTTTAGGGGATAGAAGACTGAGGTTCAGGAGAATTAAAGTTATGCAAGTAAGTGGCAGAAATAGTACCCAGACCTAGCTCTCAGTACAAAGCCTTTGCAGTTTTTTCTGTGCCACTGCCTTTCAGTAACATACACACACCCCCTACATGCCACAATTTAATTGCAGTCTATTTTTATTTTAAAGTTGTCTCAGGATAGAAGCTTCCATTCTATAGAGATGACTCGAGAAATACTTCCTTCTTGTGTGTAATGAAGGAGACCGTATATGCTAGGAACATTCTGTCTAGATCACAAACAATTGATACATGACAAATGTGGAAAAAAAAACTACTGAAATAACTATTATAAAATACTAATTTGGTAGAGTCTGGGAGTGAGCTAGCTCCAATCTAGCCTAAAGGAAAGAATGTGCTATTAGACATATTAAAGACCAGCTTCTTCTTATGGTAAATGTAATGAATGGTGTATTGTATAGTTCTCTCATTTTTCTCAGTGACTGTAGAGGCTGGTACTGCAAGAGACAGCTCCATCTGCAGCTGTATTTATTAAGTCTTACTAGCATAGTACTGTACTGTTAAGTCTTATGCAGTCAATGAGTTTAAATAAATGCTTTTATTTACATATTAAATTATAGAATACTGATTCCAGTATGACTGAACTATAAGGATCCTCTTCACACAGGTATCTACAGGAGGTGGGTTATACAGATACTATTCTAGATGTGAAATCTAAACGAGTGAGAGCTTTGTTGGGCTTTTCAAGTGATGTCACTGACAGAGAAGATGACAAAAATCAGGACTCAGTTGTAAATGGCACAGAGGCTGAAGTTAAAGAGACAGCAATGATTGGGTAAGTATTTTGTCTGGGAAGTGTTTTAGCTATAATTAGTTATTATTAAATATTTTTGGTTTTATGGGCATTATTTGTACTTTCAGGTAGTGTCATAGAAATAATTTAATAAAAAATCTAAAATTTTGTTTGGTTAGAAGGTAACACATAAGGATTGGAGTTATCATTTATGACTATTTTAATTCAAGAATACTATTATTTATGATATTTGCTTCAAATTTATGTATTTAATACAGATTTTAGTATATTGTCCTAATCAACAAATGTTTCAGAAAACATTTTGTTTGGAAATTCAGTACAATCTATAAGAACAAAATTTCATGATTGGTGATCCAGAAATCACAAAAGTACATCAAATTATTTAGAAGTAACCCTGCTTTTTAGCCACTTTTGTTTATCTCATAATGCTGTAATTTATCTTTCCTTTGATATAAAATATATATTATAAGTGACAGCGTAAGTGTGAAAAATTCATTAGCTCTCTGAAATATTTTGTTTTCCATTTTGGATTATGTATCATACAATCATATATAATTCTACTTAAAATAAGCATAAACAGTTCAATAAAGAGATTTTTCTTTATTGGAAAAAAGCTTCCATGATTGTTAATTGAATAAAAAGTCAAAAATTATGTGAATGTCTTAAGTATGATTTTTATTTTGACACTTGTTTAGGAAGGAAGAATGGTTTTAATTGAGCTCTATAAATTTTCTAGTGAGAAGATAGTTCCTGTTATTTGGAATATAAACTAAAATTATGGGATTAGGTAAAGGTTCACTGTGGAACTTTTATAAACAAAGGTCTGTGGAGCCTTCTAAAATATATTCGTTAATAACTAAGAATACATTTCCAACTTTGTAGGCTTCATTTAAAAATACATTAACTTGTATTTGTAAATGTAAGGCATGGTATTTCTCTGTATAGACGTAGACCGTGTGGACATTATCTATTTTTATGTTATGAGTCAACATAAGTCATCAAGTTAACTTAGATAGTATAATTTTTTTTTTTTTTTTTTTTTGAGACGTTTTGCTTTGTTGCCAAGCTGGAGTGCAGTGATGCCATCTTGGCTTACTGCAACCTCTGCCCCCCGGGTTCAAGTGATTCTTCTGCCTTCAGGCTCCCGAGTAGCTGGGACTACAGGCATGTACCACTATGCCCAGCTAATTTTTTGCGTTTTTAGTAGAGACAGGTTTTCACCATGTTGACCAGGATGGTCTTGATCTCTTGACCTTGTGATCTGCCCATCTCAGCCTCCCAAAGTGTTGGGATTAGAGGCGTGAGCCACCATGCCTGGCTGATAGTATAAATGTTTTTAAGAGCTATAATGCATACTTTAATAACCTTCAGTAAAGACTTTCAGGGAAGACCACTCGTGTGTGTTTTGGCCTTGATCTGTCCTTTAAGAATGACCAGGATATTGTTGCTAATCTGTCAGATTTCAGTAGGGATAAAGGGTTAGAAGAGGGTGATACCAAACACAAAGCTCTAAGCAGATTTGAAATTTAAGATCTGTTTTGAAAATTTTGTCCATAGTAGTGTATGTGTGTGTGTGTGTGTGTGTGTGTGTGTGTATGTGTATGTGTATATATATATATATACACACACATACACATAAATTTTTTTTTTTCCCCTTCAGGAAAATGCTCTCTGTCTAAAAGATTACCTAATGAACTGGAGAGAAATCTTTTTGTTCTGGCCATTGGAACCTTTACTAAATTTATTCTGAGGGAACTAAATTCAAGTCATGTATTTGAAAATTCAGTTATTTCTAAAAGATTAATGACTTTATTAATCAACAGGGTCAAGTCTTAAAATAATGTTAATTTGACTAGTGTATTGCTGTTAGTAACTTTATGTACACATTTTCTCTTTTACTTTAGTTCTTGAGCAGAAATACAAGATTGCATCAGAGCAAAATAACATATTTGTTATTTTCTTAGTTGTGGAAACTTACGTAAGAGGTCAAAGAGAGTTGCAGAGAGGATAAGAGTAGGGAAAAATGGAGGTAGAGATAACAAATATATTTTTTAAAAAAGAAATAAATTAAGGTTGGTGTAAGGATCAAAATAATACTGAATCAGGAAGGGGAGTTCTTTACATTAGATTACCACTAATCTTAAGTAAATATGAGTGGCCAGGCATGGTAGCTCACACCTATAATCCCAGCACTTTGGGAGGCTGAGGCTGAGTTTCTCCTCTTTCACTTGGGCTCAGGAGTTTGAGACCAGCTTAGGCAACATAGTAGAATCCCATCTCTGTTGAAAATACAAAAATTAGCCGAGTGTGGTAGCTCCCGCCTGTAATCCTAGCTACTTGGGAGGCTGAAGCTGAAGAATTGCATGAACCTGGGAGGCAGAGGTTGGAGTGAATTGGATCATGCTACTGCACTCCAGCCTGGGCAACAGAGTGAGACATTGTCTCCAGGTAGGTAGGTAGATAGGTAGATAGGTAGATAGATAGATAGTATTACAAAGTACTTAAAAGAGTATCTACAGCCTGTATTGCTTTTTAAATTTATCTGTGAGAATGTAATTGATAAGAATCAATGTAGATTAATGTGATTTGGGATTTATAGTTACCATATAAATAGAAGTTAATGCAACATATCATGGGTTAATTTTTATATTAAAGTTAAAAAGATTAACTAAGCAGGATATACATGTTTTACACCAGAAAATCTGAGTTAACAGATTCTGCCTCCGTGCTGGATAATTTCAAATTCCTTGAAAGTGCAGCTGCAGATTTCAGTGATGAAGATGAAGATGATGACGATGGAAGAGAGAAAAGCGTCATTGATACGTCAACAGTGAGTTAGATAACTCATACAATATAAATATTTTTAGGGACTATAATACATACTACGTAATGCATGAAAGAATTCATGTTCTTTAATATTAACCTCTAGCTTTTTCTTTTTCATGAATTTGGGGTGAGTTTTTAATATTGATTTCAAACTAAGAATATTTTTTGTATAGTAGCTTTCTCTTGAAATTCCTCACTGTTTGATTTTTTTGTTCATTCATTGAACAGGACAGTTTTCTATGGGGCAGATGAATATAGTAAATACTGTATGTTATAACGATGCAGGGTTATTGGTTGCCATAAGAACATAGAACTGACAGACATATTATGGTGCCTGATGGTGACTAGCATCAGCTCTAATATATGCAGTTTTTGTCTCGTCAGGATTGTTTTGGTAGACAAATTCTGCAAACTTTCAGAACTCTTCCATGAGATTTCTTCATAATTGTGTAGGGTTCCTCTCAAGTTTTGTTCAGAAGTTTATAAGCTTATTGACTTTCCCATGGCAGTTTCTTGGAATGAGAGATGTCTCTTACTGGCCACTTCTTCTTTCTCTTCCCTTCTTCATTTTCTTCTCTTCTTCCGTCTTCCCCTTTTCGTGTATTCACTTTTCTCCCCTTCTCCCTTCTCTCACCTATTCCTTCTTTCTCCTACTCCTTTTTCTTCTTTTTTAAGTAAGAGATGAGGACATGTTTTGCTTTGTCTAGGAAAATGTTTACATTTCTCCTCTTTCACATTTATTTGTGAATAGAGAGGAAAGTAAAGTAATGTAAAGCAGATTGGACCTCTTAGCTAAAAGACTTGGGTTAAGCTCCAGTTCTGCCACTATTTGTGTTCCTTAATGCTTCAGGCTTAGTCTTTTCATTTGTAAAATGTGGATTATAATAAATAACCATCTTAACCATGGAGGATTTTGTGAGTAATAAAGAGACACTATGTGGAAAATGATCTATTTAACTTACAAAGTGCTTTTAAAGTATAACCTCTCTGTTTTTTATGCCTTCTGCTTCTTGGGCTCCATCAGAGACTTTCAAATTATTACTGCCAGATTATTGTTTTCCCTGACCACTATTCAGTAGTACTTTGCTAATACAGCACTGCCATGGAAATTATTTGAACTTCAAGTAGTAACTTACAATTTTTCTTATCCAAGCAGGTAGTAATAGCATGTGTCTTAATTTACTGTTGTAAAAGGCAAAGCCTAAACTTCTGTGACACTTTTTCTGTGCCCTAATTGTCTGGAAGTTGTGTAGCCCCTTGTTATTTCTATGGGATGATTGCATTGAGATATTATTTTTCCATCAAAATACTTTATTCATAGCTCAGTATTAAATAATGCCTTGAATCATGATGCTATATGTTTCTGTAAGTTAGTGATATCAATTTACATATTTTAAAATTTCATAAATATTAAAACTATTACATATGCTCTTATTAGAAATTCCTAACCCACAGACATAATAAATACACTTTCTTCTAATTAGTACAAATCATAGCTGGGTACAGTGGCTTGTACCTGTAATCCCAGCTACTCAGGAGGCTGAAGTGGGAGGATCACTTAAGGCCAGGAGTTTGCGACCAGCCTAGGCAACATAGCAAGACTCCATCTCCAAAAAAAAATTTTTTTTTAATTAGCCTTGTGCAATAGCACACACCTGTAGTTCCAGCTACCCAAGAGGCTGAGGAAGGAGGATCGCTTGAGACCAGGAAATTTGATGTTGCAGTGAGCCATGATCATGCTACTGCACTGAAAAACTTTTTCAGTTTTTTAGAAAAAAATATTTCTAAGCAAATTAATCACTGGTTTTAACAGTTTTGCTTATTTTTACATTATATTACATTAATTTTCTAGCTACAGTCAAATAGCTACATGCCAAAAGGACTTTAAAAATCTAATTCTGTTTAGCAGTGAATAAGCATAACAGAAAATTTATTGCATTCTATAGGGAAAGCTAAATAGACTCAACTAAGAAAATAGAGAAACATAAAGCCCTTAGTAACTGCTGTTGTATTTAGGCTGTTATACAGGAGTATCTTCAAAGCCTCATATCCTCTGCTTTTTACTTTGCCATTTTTGGAGTTTGGGTTACATGCTGGATTATTTTCCTCCTCTAAATTGTCTTCTTTTTCTTCATCATCTGCCTCTTCACTGTTTTGTTGTTTTTTTTTTTTTTTGAGACAGAGCAGAGTTTTGCTCTTGTTGCCCAGGCTGGAGTACAGTGGCACGATCTCGGCTCACAGCAACCTCAGCCTCCTGAGTAGCCAGGATTATAGTCATGTGCCACCATGCCCAGCTAATTTTTTTGTATATTTAGTAGAGATAGGGTTTCATCATGTTGGCCAGGCTAGTCTCGAACTCCTCACCTCAAGTGATCCACCCGCCTTGGCCTCCCAAGGTACAGGGATTACCAGCGTGAGCCATTGTGCCCAGCCCTTATTTTTCTTTACCGTCATTATTATCAGCATTCTTGTTATCGCTAGCTAAGTATAATAACAACCTTGAGATTATATGTGCATGTAAGAAGCGATCAGTTTCAAACTGTGTGAAGGCTAACTTCTGCAGCAGCATCTAGTCTCCACATTCAGAAACTTCAGGTGGAAAAAGAATGGAAATAAGAGCTATTAACTATTTTTTTAGCCACAGTATAAATAATCTCATGTTCCTTTGTGTCATGGCCCTACTGATGGTTTTTGAAGTGACAGTTTATTTATTTATTTTTTCTGATCTGCTTAGGCAGCCTGTGTAGCCCATAACTTAATTTCGTTTTGTCTTAATTTCTTCAGTTGATTCATAAGCTCATTGAAGGTAGGAGTGGAGTGGAACCTTCTATGTCAGGAAGAAAAGCAATATATGCTTGTTATTACAAACTCTACCCCTTCCTGTTCTAATCCTGTTCTCCATTGGTACACACAATTAATATTTCTTCTATACCTAAATATTAAAAGCAAAGGACTTTCAGTTTATTTAAAGTGGGATACTTGGTAAATAGTAATCTGCAATGACAGTAATAAATATGCCATTTATTCTTTGTATGATTATACTGAGGTGATGAGACTAGAAATGTTTTCCCCAGGAGTTGCTTTTGTGACATTAAATACCACATTTAATGTTGAGAATACATTCAGACTTGCAGTTTGAGGTTCCATGTACTTCTTACAGATTTTCCCTGCTCTTTTTGTCAGGCAGCGAGAACAAGGACTTACAAAGATGTTGGTGATATTCCCTCTGAATTACAGCCGGCATCTCATCAGGGTCCAGAAGAGGGAGGGATTAAGCCTTTAGGGTAAAACAAGGTAGATTAGGCAATATATTTATATGTGGAACTATGAGAATTGGGGTGTCCTGTTGGCATAACTCTTCAGAGACACCTTTCTGCCTTAGTATGGCTGCGTAGGGAAAATTAGTACAGATTATTCGAATATGATTTGTATTTATAAAAATACACATTCAAGAATGGGTTTTCGGTTCTCAGTCTGCCACACTGATCTTGCTTTTTTTGTCGAATAGATTTGCTAGATGTTAAATTGGGAGGTGCTGTAAGCATAGAAGTATTTCTTGATTTTACGAAAATCTCCCAAATAGCTAAACAAATTATTCTAGCATAATTAAGTAATCCTTTGATTTCTTCTATCCAGGTTTTGTATGTACCAGGACGGTTAAGGCCAGATAGGTTTCATCTATGATGGCACCTTTGTTCCATTGGTAGTGGCTTCTTGGAGTGCTGTGCTGAGAAGGTTTCTGAGGCTGTATCTTGTCTTTGATGAAGAGTGCTGTGATTGATAAATGATACCAGTTGTCAGCATGGGAACAAGGCCATACAAGTCACGTGTTTGTCATCTCTTGGGTTCTGCTTCTGAACTCTTTATTCTGTCTGTCTAGTCTATCCCATTGGTCTGTCTGTAAAACTTTGATAATTTTAAGCCACTCCTAATAGCCCAGGGATAACATTTGATCATATCGTGCTATTTCTGTTTTGCATGAAGTGAAGAGGCTGAAATCTAGAGAAACTGAGATAATGAAATTTTATTCGAAGAAATGCAAACCAAAGCATCCTAATTTCTTTAGGCCCATGTTGGTAAAGGTGACCTAGAAGGAGATAATTTATAAAGAGCCTAGGCGTGTAGATCTCAAAAATTGTCTCTGCATGTATGAAGCTTAAGTTTTAATACTGCAACTGGATTTGTGATTCCAGAGTTATTTCTAAAGATATAAAAATGAACCGTAGCTGCCTTTACCAATTTGTTAGATTCAGTCTGAAAGATCAGTGTTTTAAGAAAAAAAATTAAATGTATGGAGAGCTTCTAGAGAAAACTGATGCAAGGTTAGGACAGTAGAAATAATTATGGAAACCTAACAGAGTACCTTGTAAATTATCTATGTTGTTTCAATACATGTCTTATATTACCACATGTGGTTCTATTAGTTGACTTAAACAAGCCATCATATTGTTGAACAAAGTTTAAATTACTGCTTTAAAATTTATAATGTCTTTAAAAACAATGTGATTTTCACTAAGGTAATAGTTATTTAACGCAACAAAGGTACATATTCTGAAGAAAATAATTGAATTTTCTTATTCAGCGGTAGAGGGAAACTATCTCCTTTATTTAATATAGCATGTTTTCTCATTAGATTGTTAGGAAAAAAACATTACCTGACAGCAGTGAAGATCGAGATACAAAAGAAGCTCTAAAGGAGTTTGACTTCTTGGTTACATCAGAGGAAGGAGACAATGAATCTAGAAGTGCAGGCGATGGAACAGACTGGGGTAAGGAAGCATACTGGATCCAACTAGAGATGTTAAATAAATAAAACAATTAGCGTTTTACCAGGAGGGCAACATCTTAAAGGACTATACTGTTGAAATATTGACCATTTTGTGAACTTACTACTGCTGGCACCTTTTAACCAGGGTATATGTGTGTGTATGTTTAAGAAAGGTTGTGTAACTACCTCATTTAAAAAGGAAAAAAAAGCAATACAGTATGAGTTACTTTATAGAATATTCTGTTTTCTGCCTAGACAGTAGAACTTTCAAATTCAAAGCATTTGAATTACTATATGGAATATTCTCTGTTTTCTGCCTAGACAGAACTTTCAAATCTAGATTTTTGTGGAAATTGATTATGAGACTTTAATTAGAGGATTTTGTAGATCTCATTTCTGACATTTTTATATGTAAAAAGAAGTATAAGTTAGAAAATTGTAGTCAGTTATTCATTCTAGTTTAAGATTTGACAGTTTGTACAAGACAGAATTTTTCTTCTCAGAATGTTCTAAAAAATGGAATATTTTAAACATATAAGAATTAAAACAAGTATTTTGGGGAAACTTCCACAGCATAGATCATTCTAGTATGGAGACATTATTGTTATCAAGTTATTAAACACAACAAAGGTACACTTTTTGTTTTTGAGACAGAGTCTAGCTCTGTCACCCAGGCTGGAATGCAGTGGCGCAATCTCGGCTCACTGCAACCTCCACCTCCCAAGTCCAAGCAGTTCTCCCATGTCAGCCTCCCGGTAGCTGAGATTACAGGCACCCACAACCATGCCTGGATAATGTTTGTATTTTTAGTAGAGACGGGGTTTTGCCATGTTGGCCAGGCTAGTCTTGAGCTCCTGACCTCAGGTGACCTGCCTGCCTCAGCCTCTCAAAGTGCTAGGATTGCAGGCCTGAGCCCCTGTGTCTGGCCCAAAGGTACAACTTTCTGAAGAAAATAGTTGAATTGACTTAAGGTAGGATTGTGATACATTATTCAAAACAAAAGTGATTAATTCCATCAGGTCTATATATTTGTGTAAGTGTGGATGAGAGAGTGAGCGAGAGAGATTGAAAATGAAAGAAATTTTCTCTTGAGATTGAAGGATTTCAATGACTTAATTACTTTACACTCTGTGTACTGCATTTTCCTTGGAGCTTTTCTATTTTTTGGGGAGTGGGGGTCGGGGTGGGGACAGAGTCTCACTCTGATGCCCAGACTGGAGTGTAGTGGCTTGAACTCACTACAGCCTCAACTTGCTGGGCTCAAGTGATCACAGGTGTGCACCACCATGCCTGGCAACTTTTTCTGGGTTTTAGTAGAGGCAAGGTCTTGCCATGTCACCTAGGCTGGTCTCAAAATGGCTTTAAGTGATCCTCCTGCCTTGGTCTCCCAATGTGCTGGGATTATAGATGTGAGCCACCACTCCCAACCTCCTTGGAGCTTTTCTTTGGGGTCAACTTAAATATGTTGAACTTTAAACTCTGTATGTTTTATTCATTTAAAAAATTAAGTTGGCTGGGTGGCTCAGACCTGTGATCTCAGGACTTTGGGAGTCCAAGGTGGGAGGATTGCTTGAGCCAAGGAGTTCGAGACCAGCCTGGGCAACATGGCAAAATCCTATCTCTACAAAAAAATACAAAAATTAACTGGGTGTGGTGGTGTGTGCCTATAGTCCCAGCTACTTGGGAGGCCAAGGTGCGAGGATCACTTCAGCTTGGGGAGGTTGAAGTGAGCCTTGATAAGCCATGAGAGTGAGACCCTGTCTCAAAAAAAAAAAAGCAAAAAAAGCAAAAAAAAGCATAGTTATTTTCAAACTCGTAATTATAGTTCTGCTGATGACCTAATATAACTTCCTATTTTCAAGGTTTTCTTTCAACCCTAAAGCAAAATTATGAGGATATTTGGTGGCTCACATCTATATGCCATTAATTTGGCAAATTATATGTCAGTACAAATTAATGGCATATAGATGTGATTGTATATAAGACTTAGTTAAAACATACTAAAGTATTAATGAGAAGATATTTGGATTTTTTTTGTTTTTTTGAAATGGAGTCTTGCCCTATTGCCCAGGCTGGAATATAGTGGTGTGATTTCGGTTCACTGCAACCTCCACCTCCTGGGTTCAAGCAATTCTCATGCCTCAGCCTCCTGAGTAGCTGGGACTACAAGGTGTGCGCCACCACGCCTAGCTGATTTTTGTATTTTAGTGGAGACGGAGTTTCACTAAATTGGCCAGGCTGGTCCCAAACTCCTGACCAACATCAGGTGATCTGCCTGCCTCAGCTTCCCAAAGTGCTAGGATTACAAGCGTGAGCCACCACGCCCAGCCTTGTTTACTTTTTTAAAGTTAATGTTCTATGTTACGTTCTTCCCAGGAGAGGATAGGGATCTGTTAGTTTAGGTCCAATCTTTTCATGATATTTGAACTTGAATTCTCCATATGAATTTTAAAATCATTTCTTCATGTTCCGTGAATTACTGAAGATTTGATTTTAGTTTCACATATATGTAAATAATTTGCAGCTCACTGATACCTTTTCAATAGACTGTTCTCCTCAATAAAAAAGATATATATCCCAAATTATACAGATTTCCATATTTATAAATAATATATATATTTTTTTCTTTTTCTTTTTCAACTTTTAGTTTTGGGAGTACTTTTGCAGGTTTGTTACTTGGGTGTATTGGGTGATGTTGAGGTTTAGGGTATGAAGGATCCCGTCACCCATGTACTGAGCACAGTACCCAACATTTGGTTTTTCAGCCTTTACTGCCCTCCCTGCCTCCCACCTCTAGTAGTCCCCAGTGTCTTTGTTGCCGTCTTTATGTCCATGAGTACCTAATGTTTAGCTCCCACTAATAAATGAAAACATTCAGTATTTGCTTTTATGTTTTGGTGTTAATTTACTTAGGATAAATATTGATTTCAGTACACCTTCAAGAACTAGAACACAGGCTATAAGACTGGAACCCAGGTATTACTTCTGTCCAAATGTTACTTAGTGTGTTTTGCTTAAAATGAAGTCCTTTTTTACGTTTTTAGTTATGCTCATTAGAAATACTAATTAAATCCCTTTTTTTTGGGTATATTTCTTCTCTGAAGGAAAAATAAAAGAATTCTAAAGCCAGAATGAAAAAAGTAAGATACCTTTTTCTTCTCTCTCTCATGTTGAAAATTTTGTTGAAATTTTTCCTCCTTCACAACTGCTTAGTCATTATATATAGTGACTGATAAGAAAACTCTCTTAGGTTAAGTTCAAGGAAAAGATTTGCTAATGTTTTTAAGAAACAAAAATAGATTTTTTTGTAACCTTGTTTTCATCTGAAACATTGTACAATAAAACTAATTTGTGATTGCCCCAAGGAAATGTTATTTCTCTCGCTTTGTCGCCAGGCTGGAGTGCAGGGCATGACCACGGCTTACTGCAACCTCCACCTCTCAGGTTTAAGCAATTCTCCTGCCTCAGCCTCCCCAGTAGCTGGGACTACAGGTGCCTGCCACCGCGCCTGGCTAATTTTTATATTTTTAGTAGAGACAGGGTTTCACCATGTTGGCCAGATGGTTGTGATCTCTTGACCACGTGAGCCACCGCACCTGGCCAAATCTTTTTTTTTTTTTTTTGAGACAGAGTCCTACTCTGTCGCCCAGGCTGGAGTGCAGTGGTGCAATTTTGGCTCACTGCAACCTCCGCCTCCTGTGTTGAAGCAATTCTCCTGCCTCAGCCTCCCAAGTAGCTGGGATTACAGGCACCTGGCACAACACCTGGCTAATTTTTGTATTTTAGAAGAGATGGGATTTCACCATGTTGGTCAGGCTGGTCTTGAACTCCTGACCTCAAATGATCCCCGCTCCTTAGCCTTCCAAAGCACTGAGATTACAGGCGTGAGCCGCCAGGCCTGGCCCATTAGTTGAACCTTTTAATGACTTTTCTTGTTGAGGTGTTAAGTTACTGTGGGTTGACCGTCTATCCCTGATGTGAAAAGATTGGAGAGTGCTGAACCAATATAATACAAATATTCCAAAATCCAAAATGGTTTGAAATCTGAAATACTTCTAGTCCCAGGCATTTCGGGTAAAGGATAGTCACCTGTAGTGTTATTTTGCTTTTATATTGGAGCTTCCTTTGAGAGGAAGAAACTGATTATACTTCTAAGTCCAGCTGACTTCTTGCCTTTTGGACTCAGTTGCAAATTACTTTCTAGGACAGTTGGTAGGTTTATTTGCCCCAGAATCATTAAAAAATAGTTTTCTGGGCCAGGTGCGGGGGCTCACTCACACCTGTAATTCCAGCACTCTGGGAGGCCGAGGTGGGCAGGAGTTTGAGACCAGTCTGGTCAACATGGCAAACCCCTGTCTTCAAAAATCAGCCAGGCATGATGGCAGGTGCCTGTAATCCCAGCTACTCTGGAGGCTGAGACAGGAGAATCGCTTGAACCCAGGAGGCAGAGGTTGCAGTGAGCTGAGATTATGCCACTGCACTCCAGCCTGGGTGACAGAGCAAGACTTCATCTCAAAAAAAAAAAAAGGCATTTTCTGGTGCAGCGATAATATTGACAATAGTATAACCATAGCACACAATAAATTTTTCAACCGCCTTTACTTTTCCTTAAATCATGTAAATTTGCCTTTAACTCCCTAAGATCTTATCTTCAGGGACTCTGTCATAGCACCAGTGCTACTTCTTTTCCTTTTTTTATGGTAAGTACTTGAAGAATTATCTAAGATAAGTAGTCATTGAAGAATACAATGACTATCTGGTGACTGGCTTTTCTTTCAAGAAAACAAGTCCAGAAACCAAGGGGGAAGTTAAAGTGAAACAGGCATCTATTCTGTCTTACTTCCTACTGAGCTTGTATATCAAGTTACTCATGTTAGGCAACAAGTCCACCAACATAGCTACATCTACTGTGCTGCACTTGGGTCTTTCTCTGAGGAATCACACATTTGCATAGATACAGTTGGTCCTTTTTATTGTGAATCATATTGCAAGGGCACTGGAGATTGGTTATTCTCCAAGGACAGCCGCACTGTTCCTTGTGTAACTTCCTTTACTTTAATGTATGAGTCATAGCTCTGTGTATTATATGATACATGTGTGTACATTTTACCTAGTTTATATGAATCACATGAGTGACACTCCTCACAACTGAGTTGTCTCATTCTTTAGTAGTATACTGTATAGTTCTGTTAATGAGTATGAGTAAATGTAATATTTCTATTTATTGGAGGTTTCTTTACAAGTAGTTTGACCTGTATGTTTTAGGATTTTATAATTCAGATTCAAAGGGTTCTCTTTTAACATATTAACAAAACTAGATTGCAAATCTTCTCTAATTGAGTGAACTTTAAGCCATTTTAAGGGTTCTCTTCATCTCTCTTATCTACTCCCCCCCTCCAAAAAAAAAAGGATAATATGCCTAGGTTCAGAATCTGGTTAGATTCTAGCAAACAAAAAGATTTTACCATACATCTTCCATGATTCCTATTGTTTTTATCAGTCTAATAAGATTATAAAGCTACATTTTAACTTCAGAAACCTGAAGACTTTCTGGGTACCCAAAAGCCATCCAGTTTAATTTATTATTAAGACCCGATTGATGAAAATTAACTTCTTTAATTGTTATGTCTTTCCGGGAAAATAAAGAATGTTTCTACTATTGATAGGTTATAGTTAAGTATCTAAAAATGTTGTTTAAAATTATTCCTTTTTTTTTTGAGATGGAGTCTTGCTCTATTGCCCAGGCTGGAGTGCAGTGATATGATCTTGGCTCACCACAGCCTCCGCCTCCCGTGTTCAAGTGATTCTCCTGCTTCAGCCTCCACAGTAGCTGGGATTACAGGCATGTGCCACCATGCCTGGCTGATTTTTTTTTTTTTTTTTTTTTTTTTTTTTCCCTGTAGAGACAGCGTTTCTCCATGTTGGTCAGGCTGGTCTCCAACTCCTGACCTCAGGTGAGCCACTGTGCCCAGCCTAAAATTATTCTTAATAGTATTATATTCAGAGGCCCAGTAAACAGTCTTCTAAACTTGATTGAAACTTAAGTTGTTAAAAACAGATTTCTGTTTGATATGATTCATTTTGATTTATTCCCATCATTCATTCAACAAATATTGATCAAGTGCTTTCTATTTGCTGGGTTTTCAAGGTGAAGATCCTTATTCTTCTGGTGCTTACATTCAGCTAAGAGAATATAGTATGTCAGAAGGTGATAAATGCTATGGAAAGTAGAAAAAGTATAGAGTAAGGGAGATGGGGAGAGCTGGGGTCAGTATGGGGTAGAGAGAATAGGTTACAATTTAAAATAGAGTGGTTAGCTGGGTGTGTGGCTCATGCCTGTAATCCCAGCACTTTGGGAGGCTGAGATGGAAGAATTGCTTGAGCCCAGAAGTTTGAGACCAGCCTGGGCAACATAGCGAGACCTCATCTTTATAAAAAAATTTTTAAACAATTAGCCAGGCATGGTGGTACATACCTGTAGTTCCAGCTACTTGGGGGCCTGAGATAGGAGGATTGCTTGAGCCCAAGAGATTAAAGCTGCAGTGAGTTGAGACTGTGGCAGTACACTCCAGCTGCTTTGATAGAATGAGGTTCTGCCTCAAAAATAAAATTAAAAATTAAAAACCCATAAAATATAGTGGCCATAGAAGGCCCCATTGAGAAGGTTACAACTGAGTAAAAGATGTGATGAAGGAATTGGCCATATGGTTTCCGGGGAAGAAGTGTTCAGGAAGAAGAAATCCAGAGCAAATGCCCTAAAATGGCATCCCTGGCATGCCTGAGAAATTTAAGTGAGCCAGGGTGGCTGGAGCAGAGTGATTCTAGGGAGAATGTAGTAAGAAATGACCAGACCATGTTGGGCCATGTAGACCAGTGGTGAGACGGGGAGCCATGGGAGGAATTTGAACAAGAAAGGTGACAATATCTTTTATTTTAAACCATCACTCTGGCTGCTGCATTGAGAATAGACTACATAGCGAACCAAGTGTTGATAAATAGGCTTAGGGGAGGGGGAACAATTATTGTAGTAATTCTAGCAAGAGATCATAGTGGTCAGAGAAATAGTATATGTGCTGAGAAGCCAGATTCTGAGTATTTGTGAAGGTAGAGGAAATAGTTTTTCCTGATATACTTAATGTGGGGTGAGAAAGAATGGGTTTTGCTCTGAGCAAGTACACGTATGGAGTTGTCATCAAATAAGGTGGGGAACTCTTTAGGTGGAACAGACTGGATTGGGAGAGAAGTTCGATGTTTGGTTTTGTGTATTTGGTTTGAGGTATCTGTTAGATTTTCTAATGGAAATGTAGAGTGAGCAGTTGGATATATCAGTCTTGGTTTCAAGCTAGCATTCTAAGTTAATATTTACATAGCATTATATAGTATTTAGATTGTTTTATAGCAATAAATGCATAACATTTTAAAATTTTTCTTCTCTTGAAATAGTGACAATTTATTATTGTATTTCTTTACCACTAGCAGCTCAAAATCTTAAAATTCCTGTTTTAAGAATTTATAAACTAACACATCATTTAAATTGTAAATTTTAAATGAAGATTGATTAACAAATGCTGTGTATTAAGCCTGTAAAATAAAAATTAGCATTTATTGATGAACATATGCTAAAAATATATAATTCTTTAAAAGATCATTGACGTTTGTTTTGTACAATTTCTAAATACTAATTTTCTCTCATTGCATAAATTAATACAAATTTTTTTGTGTGTGTTAGTCCTAGTGGAATTCTGAAAATGAGAAGTTTTTTGTTTGTTTGTTTGTTTTGAGACAGAGTTTCACTCTTGTTGCCCAGGCTGGAGTGCAGTGGTGCAATCTGGGCTCACTGCAACTTCCACCTCCCAGGTTCAGACAATTCTCCTGCCTCAGTCTCCCAAGTAGCTGGGATTACAGGCATGAGCTACCTACCGTGCCTGGCTAATTTTTTTTTTTTTTTTTTTTTTTTTTTTTTTTAGTAGAAATGGGGTTTTACCATGTTGGTCAGGCTGGTCTCGAACTCCTAACGTCATGTGACCCCCCTGCTTCAGCCTCCTAAAGTGCTGGGATTACAAGCGTGAGCCACTGCACCCGGCCAAGAAGTTCTTGATTGTAAAGTGTTTGGGCTTAATTTACTAAAAATCGCTAAAATCTTCCAGGTTTGTGTGTCTATGTGTATGTCTCTTTTAAGAGAAACTTTTTATTCTAAGAAATTGCACTGATCATTTCTTCTTAGTTATTATATTTTTTTAAGTGACTTATATATCCAATGAATAAACAATGACTTTTTTTAAGTTAGTGATACTATAAAGAAAATGGTTAATGTCATTCAGACATAGTGACTCAGAGTGTTCAATATTTTGTTGAATAAGGCTGTTTCATTTGTTTTACTCTGTTTAGAAAAGGAAGACCAGTGTCTCATGCCTGAAGCCTGGAATGTGGACCAGGGAGTAATTACCAAACTCAAGGAACAATACAAAAAGGAGAGAAAGGGGAAAAAGGGGGTGAAGAGTAAGTGGAAAACATTGTATCTGTAAATCACAAATCTTGCCTCTTTACATCCCCAGTTTTTTTTTTCAATGTTTTCCTAAAACTACTTACTCTTTCATTTCTGCTCCTGACCTCTTTCCTTTTCACCTGCTCTCAGGGGTTGAAATTAAATGATAGCTATTTGATGATGAACTTAAAACAACCCACATGTACTTACAGAATCATATATACTGTATCCCAATAATAAATCCAGAGCCTCATGAGAGCCTCATGTTGGCCTATGTATTCAAGCACAGTGATAATTTGTTTTTTTAAAAGTACCTGTGCTTAATTATAACAGTGATTTTGTTTTCAGTGACAATTTATAATTCATTTAGTGTGACCCCCTCTGGCAATCCACCAAAATGATTGCTTACAATTTTAGACATTGGTGACAGCAAGAAAGTTAGTTTCTACCCCTGAATATTCTATGTGTTCATAACCTGCATTTCATTTGCTCATACCACTATATGCTATACAGGGCGCAGAGTGAAACATATAACTTTAAAAAATATTTATTTTCTTTTTGAACATTTTGGGCCAATTTCATTTATAACATTATTACCAATTACTTTTTTTTCTTTTCAATAAAATATGTGCCACACCCAAAACAAAAGCCAAAAGAAAATTTCTAGCCCTGTGAATCATATATGTTTAATTATTTCATTATGCAAATTGTTTAGCAGTGAATCTAGTTAAGAATGTAAAATGGAAATACAAAAGCTTGCAAACCATTCCGGAAAACAATCTTAAACAATCTTCTTAGGGGGGCAAGGCTAAACTATCTCCTTGTGTTTCTACCCTCGTTGACAATATGAACCAGGGCCTCACTTTTATGGCAATAGGAATTTAATTCTTTGAGATATTAAGGTAGTATATAGTGAGATTAAAATCTAACTTAGCGAGAAATGTATTTTAAAGTTGCAAAGGACTGGAAAGATAGATATTTTTTTCTCTATCTGTAGTGATGCTAAAGCTTATTAAAGATGCATCATTCCTGTTAGGACATTCTTTTAAACTTAAAACATTACTTAAAAGCATTTAAGCCTTTATTTAAAATATCATAGAATTTATCAGTGTTTAGCTTGATTTGATAAAAAGTCAGTATCTGTTATTGATGTTACATAATATCAATCGTTACATCCTGAAAGATGATGATGTTTAATGCTATCTCAGTATAGATAAATCAATGAGAAAGATTAATATTAAAACACAAGCACATTTTGTACCTTTTAGCGAGATATACTTACTGATAGACAATTTAATCTTAAAAAGCATAGGGAGATGATTTGTTATGGCTTTTGAGAGTCATGACAAAAAACCAGTTAAACTGAAATTTTGAGGAAAATTTGGATATCATATGTGAGAAATAATTTCCAGATTAACTTAATGTTGATATATTTCTTTAGGCCATTATGCTACAAAAATGAATGTCTTGAAATATAAAAGATCTTTCAGTTGGAAAGGTAGCCAGGACTTATGCACAATCCATCTACTTTTCCATTGATTATTCAGTTCTTGTCAAATATCAGGGCATTGCTATAGTTGGAATTTAGCACTTAACTAAAACTGCACCATTTGACTGGAACAATATTCCTACTAATAGAAGCAATTGGATTTCTTAAATCGGGGTATTTGTGTTCAGACATCTAGCATGTGATTTTTTTTAGTATGTGAAGAAAAATGACACTGTAAGGGAGAAATTTTAACATTTTTCACTGAAGAGAGGGACTACACATTTCAGCACATTCTGTTTAATGTCTTCTGTTCATGTTACCTTGATAAAATAGCAGTCTTGGAACGAGTAAAAACTTAGGATAAAATAGAACCGAAGCCATGCTTTGAATTGGTATATAAAGCATTAACTTATAAACCACTATAAAGTTTTTTTTAATTGAACTGGTACTCATTTGAAAAGTTTGAGTCTTTTCAATGTGGTCTAGTAGAGATATTTCCAGTCAAATCATGTACTCCAATCATAGTATCTTGAAATACATTTCTAGGCGTTAGTTAAAATTGCTTAAAAATAGTTGTATTCTTTGCTGGTATAGGAAAAAACCATAACAGACTATGGGTAAGATTTTCCCATTCTTAATTAAACTTGTAACAGGAAAAACTACCGAAGATCTGTTTCAGCCTCTATCCTATATAAAACAGTCAAAACAGGGATGTGGGAGAATGAAGAATCAAAGTTCAGGTAAGTAATCGGTAGGGCATGAGACTTCACCTCGGGTACCATAGCTTGAGGATGTAAGGCAATTAATGCAAGTTAATTTAAACAAACAAACAGGGTTGTGTTGTTTAATTCAGTGTACAGTAGGCTCACAGTCTGTATCTGGCTACATTTAGAGCAATTATTCAGTAATTTGATTAAAGAATGTTACTTTTAATGGTCTAACTGGACACACACATTTTTTTAAATGTAAATAGTGATGTTATCCCATTTGCTTTATTTAAAAATATGTAAAGTGTAATTATTTAAAAGAAACTTTTACAATAATTTGAAAACTTGAAAATAATTCTTATTAATCTAGTAGAATATTTTTAAAGGTAAATATTTACAATGGAAAATAAGGCTTATGATGCCGTTTTGATACAGTTAGATAATTCTCTTTTCTCTTTTTTGTCTTCCCCCACCCCACTTTTTTTGGCTAGGGCCAAATAGGTCAAAACTACAAGATATGCTTGCTAATCTGAGAGATGTTGATGAACTTCCTTCATTGCAGCCATCTGTGGGTTCACCTTCCAGACCCAGCAGCTCCAGGCTTCCCGAACATGAAATTAATAGGGCAGATGAAGGTAAGTATTTAAGATATTCTGGAGCACAAAAAGCATTCGGATGTATATCTTTGAATTCATTCATTAGAAAGGACTTTCCTATCAGAGAGAATTTTAATCTGCAGATGTTTGGTCTGCATAGTTTTCCCCAGCTGCAAGCTTTCTTACATTCAAGGGAGTTTGAGTCCAACTTCAATCTTCAAGACTTGAGAAGGTACATATACTTAAAAACCAACTCTAAATTCTGTTTTAAAATATCCAATAGCTTCACTGATGCCCATGGTTCCATGTATACCATTCCAACACTGGGAAAATTAACAGTCTATAAATCGGTAGTAAATGTTTACCTTGAAACTCATATAAATATTTTATTTAAGTAATTTGTTAATGGTAATTGAAAAAGGGGATAAAGTCACCTAAAAGCCTAGTCACATAATATACTATTTTAACTTGTTCCCTTTCAGTCCTGGTTCACATGCACAGACTTTTATTTTTTGAGATGGAGTCTCACTCTATTGCCCAGGCTGGAGTGCAGTGGGGCGATCTCGCCTCACTACAACCTCTGCCTCCTGGGTTCAAGCGATTCTCTTGCCTCAGCCTCCCGAGTAGCTGAGATTACAGGCACCCACCACCATGCCTAGCTAGTTTTTTTGTATTTTTAGTAGAGACGAGGTTTTGCTCTGTTAGCCAGGGTGGTCTTGAACTCCTGACTTCAAGTGATCTACCCACCTCAGCCTCCCAAAGTGCTGGGATTACAAGCATGCCAACACATCTGACCACAAATACAGTTCTTTCTTTTAGACACAGGTCTGATTTATCTATTTATAAATGTATAAAATGCTTATATGTGGAAATTGATTTTAAAATACATATTTAAGCTGAGCATGGTGGTTCCTTGGAAGGCTGAGGTAGGAGGATCACTTGAGCTCAGGAGGTTTTTTGTTTTGTTTTGTTTTGTTTTGAGACAGGTTCTTACTCACGTTAGAGTGCACTGGCCCAATTACAGCTCACCGCAACTTCGACCTCTCAGGCTCAGGTGATCCTTCCAGCTCAGCCTCCCAAGTAGCTGGGACTATAGGCATGTGCCACCACACCTGGCTAATTTTTTGTATTTTTTTTGTAAAGACATAGTTTTGTCATATTGCTCAGGTTGGTCTCAAACTCCTGGGCTAAAGTGATTGAACTGCCTCAGCTGGGATTACAGGCGTGAGCCATTGCACCCAGCCGCAGTTCAGGAGTTTGAGACTGTAATGCCTGACAACTGAGTCAGTGAATAGGTACTGCCCTTCAGCCTAGGTGACATAGTGAGACCCTGTCTCTTAATCAAATATTTACATTAGCTGAAAATTCAGAATGACATAAAGGTAATATTGATTAATGTATATTTTTAAATATTTATTTAAAAAATTAATCCTGAATTTAAATACTATATTTGCACTGTCTCTTCAAATTATTATTTGTTGGTTAACACAGCCTGAGAAAAAGCCACAGAATAATGATACGTGTTTTTCTTATTTTTTAATCAGTTACATTTTAGAGAGACATAAACTGACAGGACTTAGATGTATAGATTTTCAATGATTGGAATACTTTTTCAGTGAAGTTTTTGACTAGTAGGTGGTTAATTATTTGTTAGAGTTAATTATAGCATACTTGGAATTTATTACACATACAAAGAATCAACACATTACACTCTAGATATAAAATTTATTTGATGGAGACCCATGTCTCTTGAATTACAGATGTGAGGTCATGGTTCTCAGTAGCTTTGTTGGATCACTAGGAGATGCATTCTGTTGTCATTATAGGTATGAGACTTCTAATCAGTTGCATTTATTCCAAGATCAGGTCGAGATAGGGAGAAAAGTTTGTGTTTCTCTTATTCTCATAATTCAGAAAGTTTACCAGGTTTCATCTTGGGCCATACGTGAATTATACAGAATTCTAGTAATATGTATAAGGAGAATACGTACTATTTATTAAATGACAGATGCACAGAAGTGTTATATAAGCCACAGAAGATGTCCTTAATAAAAAACATAGTGAAGAATTTTAAAACTCAAGCATTGAATGTTTGTTTAACTTGCTATCTGCAGCAGTGGTCCTAAGCCTTCCCCCTCAGGACAGGTTTTTCAGAAATAGAAAAGACATTTAAGAAATAGATTCTATGTTTAATTGTCTTAACTGATACTTCTTGGTCTTCAGTCTACTTTCATAAAGAACATTAATACTCTGTGTGTGCTCTATAGTTTTATTGTAAATTCAGAAAGGCAGGACTGGGTGTGGTTGCTCACGCCTGTAATCCCAGCACTGTGGGAGACTGAGGTGGGCAGATCACTTGAGGCCAGGAATTCAAGACCAGCCTGGCCAACATGACAAAACCCTGTCGCAACTGAAAATACAAAAATTAGCCGGACACAGTGGCATGTGCCTGTAGTCCCAGCTGCTTGGGAGGCTGAGGCAGGTGAATTGCTTGAACCTACTAGGCGGAGGTTGCAGTGAGCTATCACACCCCTGCACTCCAGCCCAGGCAACAGAATGAGATTCTGTCTCAAAAAGAAAAAAAAAATCATAAGACAGTGCCACATTTAAAAGGCACAGGGTTTTGTTTTGTTTTGTTTTGTTTTGTTTTGTTTTGTTTTGTTTTGTTTTGTTTTTGGTAAACGCTGATTAGGGCTAGTAAGGTTTAGTTGCCAGATGGAAATGTGACAGTGATGGAAAATCGGGTGACAGTAATGCTTATTATTGCTCTCTCTCTTCAGTCCTGGAGTGTCCTGGCTGTCCTCTGGTGTGTGAGGAAGTTGTTGTTGCTTACTTTGTTTTTAGGTTTTACTTGGTTATTTGTAGAGCATTAGTTACAATTAGCTTACATAATACATATGGTCTATCCTGGAACTCAGTCTTTCACACCTGAACAGAGTTACCTGGAAATGTTAGAAATGAAAACAAACCAAACAAAAAATACCTGGCTGAAGACCTAGCACCCATAGTCTCATGTGAGTCATTTGACTGATTGTTTTTTGACCTGAAAATTACTGTTCCATCTTAAACAATTCCTGTTCTTCATTAGTAAATGTTTAGTGTTGTTTAAACTTCTCAGGTGATGTATGGTATTTTGGGTAAAACCCATTTTTATTTTTGCTACTGTATTGTATGGTGGTTTGATAAGGTCTTAGTTTATGCTCTATTTTGTTCTAAAGAGGATTTTAAGAGTTTGTCACTATTGTTTTTAAAAGCAAGTAATTATTCTTTTTACATTTTTTAAAGAGATAGGCTCTTGCACTGTTGCCTAGGTTGGAGTATAGTGGTACAGTCATAGCTCATTATAGTCTCAGACTCCTGGACTCAGGAGAGCCTCCTGCCTCAAGCCTTCTAGGTAGCTAAAACTAGAGGAATGCACCACTGTGCTTGGCTAATTTAAAAAAAAAAAATTGTAGAGACCAGGTGCAATGGCTCATGCCTGTAATCCCAGCACTTTGGGAGGCTGAGACGGGCGGATCACTTGAGGTCAGGAGTTTGAGACCAGCCTGGGCAATGTGGCAAAACCGCATCTCAACTGAAAATACAAAAATTAGCCAGGTGTGGTGGTGGATTCCTGTAATCTCAGCTACTTGGGAAACTGAAGCAGGAGAATTTGCTTGAACCTGAGAGGCGGATGTTGCGATGAGCTGAGATTGCACCACTGCACTCCAGTCTGGGCAACAGCGAGACCCTGTCTCAGATTTTCTTTTTTTTTTTTTTTTGCTTTTCTTTGTTACCCTTTCTACACTGAAGTTTGCCCTTAAGTTTTTTTTTTTTTTTTTTTAAGAGAAGGGGTCTCGCTCTGTCACCCAGGCTGGTCTCAGACTCAGCCCCACAGGGTTCTCCTACCTTGCCACCTTGGTCTCCCAAAACACTAAAATTACAGTCATAAGCCTCTGAGCCTGGCCAGTTCTTTCATTTATTCAAAGAGTATTTATTATTAGACATGATTGAATATAAAACTGAAAATGTTGGGTGCATGTACTAGTTAATACAGTTGACTTGTTTCTTTTAAGAAAGTTAATTTACTCCTTTAGCAGCTAGAGTTTGAACTACTAAATTCATCTAACTGACTCACAAATGTTTGTCATATGTAATTACCTCTAGGAAATTACTCAAAGACCATCTCTGACATTTGTCAGAACAATTTGCATTTATAAAAAGTGACATTTTGTTATTGACCAAATTAAATAAAATTATTAATTTGACACTTTGCTTTTAACTGATTTTTCTATTATGATTGTTGAAGGAATTGGATTGGTATGTTCAAAATGTTACAAAATAGGATATTTCAAGTTATTCAGAAAGTAAAACTGATATCTTTGAAGCACAGTTTGCAGCTAATGAAAGTGTTCAAATGGACACTTTAAAATATTTTCTGGCTAGGCGCGGTGGCTCATGCCTGTAATCCCAGCACTTTTTGGGGCCAAAGTGGGTGGATCACTTGAGGCCAGGAGTTCGAGACCAGCTTGGCCAACATGGTGAAACCCCATCTGTATTAAAAATACAAAAATTAGCCAGGTGTGGTGATGGGCACATGTAATCCCAGCTACTTGGGAGGCTGAGGCAGGAGAATCGCTTGAACCCAGGAGGCTGAGGTTGCAGTGAGTGGAGATGGCACCACTGCACTCCAGCCCGGGCAACAAAGTGAGACTCTGAGAAAAAAAATAAAAGTTTATTTGAAGTCAACATTTTTAGATGAACTGTAATATACTTACAAAAGAGTGCTGGTATCTTAAGGGTACATCTCAGTGAATTGTCATCAGGATAGAATTATCACCCTCCCATGTCACTGCCCCTTAGGTCAACAAGTAGAACATTACCAGGGCCCTAGAAGTCCTCTTCTTGCTGCCTTTCTTTAATCACTACTGCTTTCCTGCCTCACAGAGGTAATACTGACTTGTAACACCACGTATTAATTTTGTCACATGTAGGCACATTTTAGAGTTTTACACTTAAAATATTTTATATTCTTCCAGGTTATAAAATTAATGAATTATATTTTGAACGAGACTAGCACTTGTTATATATATTTAGTATTTAATAGAAATTATTTAGGTAATCAGCATGAAATATCAAATGAGGAAAACTTACTTTCCTATAGTAATTATTTTTCCATATAGTGAAAATGAGCCGGGCGCGGTGGCTCAAGCCTATAATCCCAGCACTTTGGGAGGCCGAGGCAGGTGGATCACGAGGTCAAGAGATCGAGACCATCCTGGTCAACATGGTGAAACCCCGTCTCTACTAAAAAAAAATACAAAAAATTAGCTGGGCATGGTGGCGTGTGCCTGTAATCCCAGCTACTCAGGAGGCTGAGGCAGGAGAATTGCCTGAACCCAGGAGGCGGAGGTTGCGGTGAGCCGAGATCGCACCATTGCACTCCAGCCTGGGTAACAAGAGCGAAACTCTGCCTCAAAAAAAAAAGAAAAGAAAAAGAAAAAGGAGAGTAATTTCTTAGATTTATTTCATGTTTTGCTTTTTTAATTAGTTGATGCCTTTACTTATAGCTAAGATATAGAAAAGGAATAAATTATTTAGAGCTTTGGCTCACTGAATTTTATTGTCTTTAAAAGCATTTAAGAACAAAAACAATTAAGTGTATACGTGCACTTATAGGAAATTTGAAGCAAGCAAATTAGATTAAATGTTGGCTCTTTAGAAATTTTTAAGTATTTCCTTTGTCTTCCCTCTTCAGTGGAAGCATTGACATTTCCTCCTTCTTCTGGAAAGTCATTCATCATGGGAGCAGATGAAGCCCTTGAAAGTGAACTGGGACTTGGAGAACTAGCAGGCCTTACGGTGGCCAATGAAGCAGACTCACTAACTTACGACGTAAGTAGTAGTTTTGTTTTGATGTTTTTACTTGGTTTTTTAAAATTAAAAGTAGGGCCGGGCATGGTGGCCTATGCCTGTAATTCCAGCACTTTGGGAGGCTGAGGTGGACAGATCACTTCAGGTCAGGAGTTCAAGACCAGCCTGGCCAACATGGAGAAACCCTGTCCCTACTGAAAATGTAAAAATTAGCCAGGCATGTTGGCGGGTGCTAGTAATTTTAGCTACTCAGGAGGCTGAGGCAGGAGAACTGATTGAGCCCAGGAGGCGGAGATTGTAGTGGGCCAAGATGGCACCACTGCACTCTAGCCTGTGCAACAGAGTAAGACTCCATCTCAAAAAAGTAAAATAAAATAAAAAGTTCATTTTATAGAACATGAAGGCAATGGTAAAACTACTTTACAAGTATAGACCTTGGTTCAGTTTTCATTGTAAACTTTGAAAGGTACATAAAGAAAAACTAATATCTGTAATATCTTTGTAATTGACCTGAGTGGGTCAGTCGTTATTGCATACTGAATTCTAGTTGACAGAGGTGGTTTTTGTTGTTGGTGGTTGTTTTTCACTCCAAACATAGTAGTTTACTGTCTTTGTTTTTATGTTTTCTGCTAAGGTCAACTATCATTTCCTGTTGTTGGTCGTTTAATGGTAGTCTGATTTTTTTTTCACTAATATTATCTGTGTCTTTGTTTTTAGCCAAGGTTTGGTTTCCTTTTTATTTAAGTTTCTTGAAGTTCTTAAATCTTTATGGCTTGATATATTTTCATCATTTTTGTGAAGCTCAGCCATTTCTCTTCGAGTACCACTTTGGCACCTCTGTCCCTCTTTCTCTTATTTTGGAATATAGTTATATGTGTGTTATACCTTCTTCCTGTGACCTTTGTCTCCTATTCCCTTTCTTGATTTTTTTATGACTTATATTTTAGTTTACTAATTCTCTCTTCGGTAATACGTAGTTGGTAGTTAAGCCCATCTATTGAGGTCTTACAGTTTTTGCTTCTTGAATTCTTTTTTTAAAATTGTTTACAGATTTCTTCCAAATTTTCAGTCCTGTCTTTTATCTTCTTGAACACAATAAACATTTTTTTCTTTAAGACAGAATCTTAGTCTGTTACCCAGGCTGGAGTGCAGTGGCATGATCTTGACTCACTGCAACTTCTGCCTCCCTGGCTCAGTCTCTCCTATCTCAGCCTCTTGAGTAGCTGGGCTATTACAGACGTGCACCAGTACACCCAGCTAAAGCATGATTATTTTAAAGTTGAATTGGAAACTCTGTAGTTCTTTTACTAGTATGTGTTGTTTCTGCTCATTTTTATTTATATTGTCTTACATCCTTATATACATGGTTATTTTTTATTTTCAAGAAACTATTATTTGAAAAATTATCTGTAGAAATAACTTCAGACCAAATGCTATGATTTAAGTTGCTTTTCTCAGATGTATGCAGCCACTACATCTGGGATCTGGAATCACTTTACTCCATTTAATTTTTTTTTTTTTAACTCAATTTAAAATGTTTACAGTCCCTGCAAGGCCTTGGCTTCTTCTAGTTCACCCTATGTGCAGGTTTATCAAATTGTATCCCCATGACACTGCAAAGCTGTCAAAAACACTGCTTAGCCTGTCAGCCATCTCCTCTGGAATCAATAAACAGTGTATGGGGGAAAACAGCCCAAATATTGTGCTTACCTTTTAGGCCTCTTTTTTTCTCTGGATTTTGGCCTGGTTTTTCTTCAGTATTTTGTTCTCTGTTTTTTTTTTTTTTTTTTAATTCTGCTTTTCAACTTGTCCTTAGTGCAGAGGTAGTCCATAGTACCTGATCCGTCATCAGGTAGAAGTTCCCATTAGATACTTTTCTTCCCTCTATTCTAGCCCCACAAAAAGTTTTTCCAGTATGTAATAGAACTTAATTCTTTCTCCAGAGAAAGCTGATTTCTTTTTTCATAGCTTTTAATTGTTAGAAAACTTGGTGTTATGTCTGTCACCTGGTTTCAAAAAGTAGTTCGTGGTTTCATAATTTACCAGTAATCTGTGGCTATGTAGCAAATTAGGCCAAAACTTAGCAGCTTAAAACAAAGAAACCTTTATTATCTCATAGTTTCTGTGGGTCAGGAATACAGAAGCAGTTTAGTCAGGTGATTCTGTCTTAGTGTCTCCAATGTAGTTGCAGTCAAGATGTCGGCAAGAGCTGCAGTCTCACGTGAAGACTCGACTTGGGTGGGGTGGGGATCTGCTTTCAAGCTCTTCCTGTGGTTGTTGGGAGGCCTTGTGTGGTTCTTTGCTGACTATTGGCAGAGACTTCAGTTCCTCACCACGTAGGTCTCTCCATGGGCTTTTCATAGGTCTCTCCATGGGCTTTTCATTGTGGAAGCTGGCTTTCCCCACTGTGAGTGCATGTGAAAAGAGAGCAAGAACACTCAAAGGTGGAAGATGTTATAACTTCATTTTGGAAGTCACTTGTTCTCACTTCTGCTATATGCTATTGGTGACAGAGAGCAACCCCATAATGTGGGAGAGAATTATGTAAGGTTTAACTCTAAGGAAGTGGGGCTGATTGGGGCCATCGTACTGGCTGCCTACCACATTAAGACATTCAGAAGGAATCAGATTGCTTTTTCACATGAAAGCCTGCCAGGTGTTTAAAAAGAGCAGTTATGATTCAAGTCAGCTTTTTTTCTTCCAGAATAACCAGCCCCAGTACTTACAGTAGTTCCTTGCAGGATGTGTTTTATGTTCTCTTATTATCCTAATTTGACATATTCTATCTAGTTTTTTTCTGCAGATTTTTTATTGAGGGTTACTTCCACATCCAGACTGCTTGGGTTTGAATGCAGGCCCTTCCTCTTACTAGCAGGGTTTTTTGGGCAAGGCACTTAACTTCTCTTTTCCTGTTGTGTCTCGCCTATAAAGAGGGGATAATGTTAATTCCTTCTTCAGAGAGTTATTTTGAGGATTAAGTGAGTTAATGCATATGAAGTATTTTCAGTAATGGTTAAAATAATGAACAATGCCCAAAATAATAGCTGTTGTTAGTATTGCTGTATTTTTGTCATTTGTAAATAAGTAATATTTCTTCAGTCTTCTACCAGTACAGTCATACATTGCTTAATGATGGGGATGTATTCTGAGAAATGAACATTAGGGGATTTCATTGTTGTACAAACATCCTAGAGTATACTTACAAGCCTAGATGGTAGAGGCTTTACAAACCTATATGGCATGTTACTATACTGTAGGCACCTGTAACACAGCAGTAAGTTTGTATCTAAACAAGTCTAAACATAGAAAAGATGTAGTAAAAATACAGTGTATTTTTATAAAATACTTTTATGTGTGTATACTTTTATAAAAGTATACCTGTATAGGACACTTAATCATGAATGGAGCTTGCAGGACTGAAAGTTGCTCTTAGTGAGTCAGTGAGTGAGGGTGAGTGAATGTGAAGGTCCAGGACATTACTATACACTGCTGTTGACTTCATAAGCACTGTACACCTAGGCTGTGCTAAATTACATATAAAAAAAGTTTTCTTCAATAATACATTTACCTTAGCTTACTATAATTTTTTACTCTGTAAACTTAATTTTTAAAAACATTGTGACTTTTTTGTAATACACAGCTTAAAACACAAACACATTGTATAGAGGTAGAAAAATATTGTCTTCCTTTTTATCCTTATTCTTTAAGCTTTTTCCTATTTTTAAAATTTTTAATGTTTATTTTTACTTTTTAACTTTTTTGTTAAGAATGAATACACAAACATGCGTATTAACCTAGCCCTATACAAGGTCAGGATCATCAGTACCACTTTCTTCCACCTTCATATCTTATCCCACTAGAAGGTCTTTAGGGGGAAATCACAGTCAAGGAGCTGTCATATTCTATGATAACAATGCCTTCTGGTAGAATACTCCTGAAGGACCTGTCTAAAGCTGTTTTACAGTTAACTTTTAACAAATAAGTAAAAGAAATATACTCTAGAATAAAAATTATAATATATAAACCAGTAACAGTGATTTATCATTATCCAGTATTGTGTTCTGTACATAATTATACATGCTAGACTGTATTACGACTGGCAGCACAAATAGGTTTGTTTACACCAGCATAACCACAAACACATGAGTAATATATTAAAACTACGATATTAAAACAGCTATGATGTCATTATAGGAATTTTTCAGCTCCATTATAATTTTATGGGACCAGCATCATATATGTTGTCCATCGTTGATGAAAATGTAGTTATGTGGCACATTACTGTACTTTTGCTACTCTCATGTAAGCTTAGTCTGATTGCTAGCCTTGGAGTGTGAAGAATTCATATCTTAGGGTGCTAGTGTAAAGTCAAATATAATCTACCTCTTCAGCTTTTCTGTTATATAATGAGAATGAAAAAATAGTGCCTTTTTTTTTTTTTTTCATTTTTGAGATTGAGTTACCATGGAGGGGAAGAACATAATGTGTGTGTGTTACCAGTGGAATGCATTCTTTGTGTTGTCTCTTCCATTTTTAACATTTTATGTTTATCAACTTTGTTTCCAGTTTGATGAAGAAAATTTAGCTATTAAACAGTATTTAAAATCTCAAAAGTGTGATATTTTAAAAAAGTGTGTTAGTCCGTTTAAAGATAACTTAGTTTTTCAACTCTTACCCAAGATTATAATTGAATACTATAATTTATGTTGAATTACTTGGTTTTATTTAGCATCATAGTAAAGATCTATTTTATATAATTTGATTCACTTTTTGTATTGAATTATGTTAACTGTTTTTGTAATATACCTTTAATGATTCTTCAAAGAAAACTAGTGTTGGGTTATTGCTAAGTTTGCTTCTTGGTTTGGTTATTTACAGATAAAAATTATGTTGTTTTAAAAATTACAAAGTGATGGTTTAGTGACAAATCAGCAAGAATTAATGTTGAAATGCAAGTTTTCCCCCCATCTTGAACTAAGTGCGTAGGTATCTTTGTTTTGTTTCTTTAATAGATAGCAAACAATAAAGATGCATTGAGGAAGACGTGGAACCCTAAGTTTACATTAAGAAGTCACTTTGATGGCATCCGAGCCCTTGCTTTCCATCCCATTGAGCCTGTTTTGATAACAGCCTCAGAGGATCACACATTAAAAATGTGGAATTTGCAGAAAACAGCCCCAGCCAAAAAGTAAGAAAATTCTACTTTAACATTACTTGAATGTTTTAACATTTTCAGCAGAAAACTACATATTTTATTATTTCTATTAAATTTCCCAAACATTTCTTCTAGTTCTTTCTTCCATATCATGTAATTATATTGTGTTTTTCTGTTTATACAACTTAATGTTAGGTTAGAAAACTGACGCTTAGGAAGATACGGTATTACCTGATGGTTTCCCTAGGGTTTATGAGTACTGATTACAGTCCTTATACATAACAGTATTTTTAAATGGCTGCTATCTTTGGGGAGCCCCTTATCTATACTGAAGGTTTTGACTGTTTACTTATAAACAGTTATATGCATCTTTAAAATGATCAAATCTCCACCTCCACCTTGCCCTATTGTTTACTAGATTTAGACTTAAATGGGGTAGAGCAGAGAAAAGCCTTACTGGGACGGGTGGAGGGCCTCTCCTTGGTCTTATCTTTTGGCCTTGAGAGTTTAGGTGCTTTCCATACCCACCAATATGTTTGGACTCAAAAGGCTAATTTAACTGCTAGTGCTTGCCTTGACCCCTTAGTTCCTGTCTAAGCATGGATAGACATGAGTTAGTATAAACCCTTTAAAAATCACATAGCTAAACCTGATTCTACTTGCTTGAATCCTTATTGGAACTCCTCTCCTTCTTTGGGTCACATGTCAAAACAAACAAACAAACAAACAAACAAAACTCAGCATCTGCCAGCAAAGGCCCTTTTGCAGCGTCAGGCACTTTGCTATTATAAGAGTCATCACGAAAAATCAAATAGAGGAGGTTACAAAAATTTAACTACCAATGGAGGAAATCTGTCGCCTGGTTTAAGAGAGATCAGTGTCATTCATGCTGTGTCATACATAGGGTAAATGAAATACTTTATCAGTCTACTTCAGAAAGTTCGACCACATATTGCTAAAACCAGGTGGACCCTCATATAGATGAGGTGTTTTCAAAAGAGAAAAATGGCTTCCTGGTTATACATTGTGAGATAACATGTCTATAAATAATTGCAATATAATGTAGAAAACAGTTAAGTACGTGACTTTAAATCCAATTTCCATTAAAGTCATAGCCAGTATTAGTGTATAGTATACCTATAATAATGGTGTTCTGAGTAATGAATAAACTGATAATTTGGACAGTCTGTACAGTATGGAGGATAGACATATTAACCTTATTGGAAAGGCAAGGAAATAAAGTACCATTTGTTGATATCCTACTATGTGCATGATTGTGTCCTGTGGTGTTTTCTAAATTGTAGAATCCTGTTTAATCCTGTGATTATATGGTGTTACTCCCATTTTTCTGTTTGGTTTTAAATGGAGGAATCTGAAGTTCTGAAAGAGTAAATAATTAGCTTAAAGTTAGCCAGTTAGTGACAGAACTGGAAATTGAGTTCAGAAATTTATCTTCCTAAAGCCCACGTTGTTTCTCTTGAATGAAGCTATCTTTTCCGTTAATCAAATAGATTTTGCCAGGGCTAAAAATACTGTAGCAAGATACTATTAGTAAACAAGAATCTTGCACTTGATGCCATGAAAGTATAATTGGTATTAAATGAGCTTTCTTATGTACCGTGTAGTTAGGATGGTATATAATCCCATAATGTTTGTATTTTTAAAGGCAATTTTATGACATATATTTAATTATACTGTTTACTACTGAAACTTAGAGTGGTAAAAGTCATCTCTCTGATTTAGGAGCACTTCTCTTGATGTAGAACCTATCTATACATTCAGAGCCCATAGGTAAGTATGTGCTTTTTCTTTATTTAAAACCAAAATTATTGTAAAACAGCATGATGAGGATACTTTATTTTCTTTCACTTATTAGGTATTGTTTGTATTTGAGAGTGTTTTTTAAATGTATAAGAAATTGGCAGATAATATAATGTTAAAACTAAGTTCATCACTGCCAAATAGGGATTTGTGCTTAAATTAGATTTTATTTACATGATGTTTAAGTGAGGTTCATATTTATATCTTTAAACTAGAGGGAACTAGGTTTAAATATTAGAAATTCCGACTTTTTTTCCTTATATAACCTGGATTAAAATATTCAAGTGCCTGTTTTGGCAGCACATACCCTAAAATTGGAAAGATACAGAGATTAGCGAGGCCTCAGTGCAAGGGTGACACAGATTCATGAAGAGTTCCATATTTTCCTTTTTTCTTTTTTTTTTTTAAGATGAAGTCTCACTCTATTGCCCAGGCTGGAGTGCAGTGACATGATCTAATAGAGACAGAGTTTCTCACCCTGTTGACCAGGCTGGTCTCAAACTCCTGACTTGATCTCTGACCTCAAGTGATCTGCGCGCCTTGGCTTCCCAAAGTACTGGGATTACAGGCATGAGCCACCACGCCTGGCCAAAGAGTTCCATATTTTTTCTAAATGTGGAAGCAAAAGAAATATTACCAGCCCCCACAAAAATGCAATTAGTTACATAAACTACTGATACATTATAGCAACTACGCAATGAAGTATGTGTAATAACCAGCTAACAACATGATAGGATCAAATGCGCACATATCAATGTTAACCTTGAATGTAGAACGGCTAAATGCCCCAATTAAAAGCCACATGTAGGCAAGTTGCATGAAGAAGCAAGACCCAACTATATACTGTCATTAAGAGACTCATCTCACATGCAGAGACCCATCTCACATGCAATAACACCCATAGGCTCAAAGAAAAGGGATGGTGAACAGTTAAGCAAATGGAAAACAGAAAAAAGCAGGATTTGCTATTTTAGACAAAACAGACTTTAAACCAACCAAGATCAGTAAAGCCAAAGAAGGGCATTATATGATGGTAAATGATTCAATTTAACAAAAGACTTAACTATCCTAAATAAACATGCACCCAGTACAGGAGCACCCAGATTCGTAAATTCTTAGAGACCTTTGAAGAAATTTAGATAACCACACAATAATAGTGGGAGACTTTTTAACAACACACTGGATGTATTAGATCATCAAGGTAGAAAACTAAGATATTCAGGACCTGAACTTGATGCTTGACCAAATGGTCCTAACATATATCTACAGAACTCTCTACCCCAAAATAACAGAATATGTAGTCTTCTCATTTGCACATGACACATACTCTAAAATCAACCACACTCCTGGCCATTAAACTCTTCTCAGTAAATTTAGAAAAACTTAAATCATACCAACCACACTCTCAGACCAAATACAATAAAAATAGAAATCAATGGCCAGGCACAGGGGCTCACATCTATAAATCCAGCACTTTGGGAGGCTGAGGTGAGTGGATTGCATGAGCTCCGAAGTTTTAGACCAGCCCTGGCAGTGTGGCAAAACCCCATCTCTACAAAAAGTACAAAAATCAGCCATGAGTGGTGGTGTGCTCCTGTAGTCCCAGCTCCCAGGGGGCTGAGGTGGGAGGATCACTTGAGCCTTGGAGGTAGAGTTTGCAGTAAGCCAAAATCACGCCACTCCACCCTGAGCAAAAGAGCGATACTCTGTCTGAAATTAATAAATAATAGAAATCAATACCAAGATCACTCAAAACCGTACAGTTACATGGAAATTAACCTGCTCCTGAATGACTTCTTGGTGAATAATGAAATTAAGGGAGAAATCAAAAAATTATTTGAAAGTAATGAAACGAAAGATACAACATACCAAAATCTCTAGGAGGCAGCAAAAGCTGTGTTGGAAGTTTATAGTGCTAAATACCCAAATCAAAAAGTTAGAAAGATCTCCAATTAACAACTTAACATCACACACAAGAGAAAAACCAACCCCAAAGCTAGCAGAAGACAAGAAATAACCAAACTCAGAGCTGAACTGAATGAAATTGAGACACACAAAAAAACCATGTAAAAGATCATTAAAACCAGAATTTGATTTTTTGAAACAATAAGTAAGATAGGTAGACCACTAACTAAACTAATAAAGAAAAAAAGAGAAAATCCAAGTACAACAGAAATGATAAATGGAATATTACCACCAACCCCACAGAAATTTAAAAAAACAACAACAAAAACCAGAGGCTATTATGAACACCTCTGTGCACACACACAAACTAGAAAATGTAGAAGAAAAGGATAAATTCCTGAAAACAACATCCCAGGACAACCAGGAAGAAATTAAAACTGTGAACACACCAATACTGAGTTCTGAAATTGAATCAGTAATCAAAAACTTACGAAGAAGTAAAAGCTCAGGTCCAGATGGATCCACAACTGAATTTTACCAAGTGCATAAAGAAGAGCTGGCACCAGCCTGGCCAACATGGTAAAAATCCATCTCTACTAAAAATACAAAAAAATTAGCCAGGTATGGTGGTGGGTACCTGTAATTCCAGCTACTCGGGAGGCTGAGGCAGGAGAATCACTTGAACCTGGGAGGCAGAGATTGAGTGAGGTGAGATCACCATTGCATTCTAGCCTGGGTGACAAGAGTGAAACTCCACACTGCCCACAAAAAAAAAAAAAAAAAAAAAAAAAAAAAATAGAGGCGGAGAGACCTCTCCTTAACTCATTCTATGAGGCCAGCATCATCCTGATATCAAAACCTGGCAGATACACAACGAAAAAGGAAAACTTCAGGCCAATATCCTTGATGAACATAGATGCAAAAATCTTCAATCAAATACTAGCAGACCAAATCCAACAGCATATCAAAAAGCTAATCCACCGCAATCAAGTAGGCTTTATCCCTGGGTTGCAAGGTTAGTTCTTCATACACAAATCAATGGTTCATCACATGAACAAAACTAAAAACAAAAATCACTCGATCATCTCAATAGATGGAGAAAAGGCTTTCGATAAAATTCAGCATTGCTTCATTTTTAAAACCCTCCACAAATTAGACATTGAAGGATTGTACCCCAAAATATTAAGAGCCAGCTATGAGAAGCTCACAGCCAACATCACACTGAACAGGCAAAATCTGGAAGCATTTCTCTTGAGACCTGGAAGAAGACAAGGATTTTTTGTAATTCTTGTTGTAGACATCTTTCACCTCCCTGGTTAGCTGTATTCCTAGGTGTAAGAACCACTCCTATTCAATATAGTACTAGAAGTCCTAGCCAGAGCAGTCAGGCAAGAAAAAGAAAAGGTCTCCAAATAGGAACAAAGGCAGTCAAACCATCTCTGTTTGCAGACTATATAATTTTATCCTAGAAAATGCCATAGTCTCTGCTCAAAAGCTCCTAAATCAGAGAAACACCTTCAGCAAAGTTTCTGGATATAAAATTAGTATATGAAAATCAGTAGCATTTCTATACACAAATAATGCCCAAGCTGAGTACCAAATCAGGAATGCTGTCTCATTCACAGTAGCTGCAAAAAAAGATAAAATACCTAGGAATACAGCTAACCAGGGAGGTGAAAGATCTCAACAACGAGAATTACAAAACACTGCTCAAAGAAATCAGAGATGATACAAAGAAATAGAAAAACATTTCATGCTCATGGGTAGGAAGAATCAACATTGTTAAAATGGCCATACTGCCCAAAGCAATTTACAAATTCAGTGCCATTCCTATCAAACTACCAATAACATTCTTCACAGAATTAGAAAAAATGTTTAAAATTTATATGGAAACCAAAAAAGAGCCTGAATAGCCATGGCAATCCTAAGCAAAAAGAACAAAGATGGAGGCATCACCTTACCTGACTTCAAACTATACTACAGGACTGTAGTAACCAAAACAGAATGGTACTGGTACAAAAATAGCCCAGAAATAAAACTGCGTACCTACAACCATCTATTCTTCAACAAAGTTTACAAAAACAATGAGGAAAGGACTCCTTATTCAGTAAATTCAGTAAATGATGCTGGGATAAATGGGTAGCCACATGCAGAAGGCTGAAACTGGACCCCTTCCTTATACCATATACAAAAATCAACTCAAGGTGGATTGAAGACTTAAGTTTAAAACCTAAAACTATAAAGACTCTTGAAGAAAACAGGGAATACCATTCTAGACATAGACTCTGGCAAAGATTTCGTGATGAAGACACCAAAAGCAATTGCAACAATGACAAAAAAATGACAGATGGGACCTAATTTAACTGAAGAACTTCTGCATAGAATAGAAGCTATCAACAGTAAATAGCCCACAGAATGGGAGAAAATATTTGCAGACTATGAATCCTGACAAAGGACTAGTATCCAGAATCTATAAGTAACCTAAACAAATCAACAAATAAAAACCAACCTCATTAAAAAGTGAGCAAAGGATGTGAACAGATAGTTTCCAAATAAGACCAGAAACGAAATAATGCTCAACATCACCTATTACAGAAATGCCAATCAATAATTAAAAAACAACCCCATTAAAAAGTGAGCAAATGATGTGAGCAGATAGTTTCCAAAAGAAGAGATGTGGCCAACGAACACAAAAAAATGGTCAGCATCACTCATTGTTACAGAAATGCAAATCAAGACCACAATGTCATGCCAGTCAGAATGGCTGTTATTAAAAAGTCAAAAAATAGCAGATGCTGGCAAGGCTACAGAGAAAAGGGAACACTCATATGCTGCTGGTAAGAGTGTAAATTCAGCCACTGTGGAAAGCAGTTTGGTGATTTCTCAAAGAAGTTAGAACTACCAGTCAACCCAGCATTATTAGGTATATACCCAAAGGAATATAAATCATTCTGCTGTAAAGACACATGTATGTGTGTTCAGCATAGCACTATTCATAGTAGCAAAGACATGGAATCAACCTAAATGCCCATCAGTGGCAAACTGGGTAAAGAAACTGTGGTACATATATACCATGGAATACTATGCAGTCATAAAAAGTGAGATCATGTCCTTTGCAGGAACATTATGGAACTGAAGGCCATCATCCTAAGCAAACTGATGCAGGAACAGAAAACCAAACACTGCATGTTCTCACCTATACATGAGAACTAAACATTTAGTATACATGGACACAAGAAGGGAACAATAGACATTAGGGCCAACTTGACTTTGGAGGGTGGGAAGAGGGTGAGGATTGAAAAACTACCCATTGGGTACTATGTTTTTTTCTGAGTGATGGAGTAATATGTACACCAAACCGCAAAGGCGTGTAATTTATCTGTAGAACCAACCTGCATATGTACCCTTGAAACTAAAAGTTAAAAGGTTTTTTGAGAATTGTGTGTGTGTGTGATGATACATTGCATATATATTTTTTTCTGTTTCCATTTAAGGAATGTGCCTTTTCTCTTGACTTAGCACAGAGATTGGCATACTTTTTATGTAAAGAGTCGCGTAATAAATACCTGACTTTAGACTGTTAGATTTTTAAAAATATTTTAGGATTTACTGGTCATATTGTTTCTGTTGCATATTCTTTTTGTTTTGTTTTACAACCCTTTAAAAATGTAAAGACCATTCTTAGTTTGAGGATTGTACAAAAACAGACCAGTGGTTGGATTTGACCTACAGACCATAATTTACCAACCTCTTAAACCAGAGGAAGAAAAATTAACAGTGCTTTGATAGTACCTGTGTTTTCATTTTTTCTAAAAAGCAGAAAAATAGAAAGCCATTTGAATAATTAAACATTCTTATTTTTAAGAAGTCATATTATTAGGTTGGTTTTTGAGAATAGCAATTGATTTCGTTTTTTTAATCTCCCAGAGGTCCAGTGCTTTGTGTGGTAATGAGCAGCAATGGTGAGCAGTGTTACAGTGGTGGTACTGATGGACTGATCCAGGGCTGGAACACCACTAATCCCAACATCGACCCCTATGATTCTTATGGTAGGTGATTCCCCAGAGGTTGAAGGAATAAAATGAGTTTTTTAAACACTTTTTTAATAGAATATAAAAGGAAAAGATAAGAGATTTTTGAAAATAAATAGGTGAGGAGAACCATTTCTTTTTTTTGTTAAAAAGGACTTCTATACTTAGGAATTAACTTGATACATAAATGTTAAAAGAAGAAAAGAGAAAAACATTCTTCAAAATACAGTTCTCACTTCTCCAAAGTCTTATTGATTGGAAATGCAGGCCTGATTGACAGTTGTTTTCTTATTTTAGGCATCTGTAGGGTTCTTGATACCATTATTACTAATCCGTAATAATATTTCATCACTATTCTTGTCCAACAGCTTTTAAGAAAAATGAGTGTTGGTGCCATTCCTTGGTCAGTTGCTATAGAAGCTAATAATTTTTATAGTCCATGACACCAAAATATGTAAAAGGCCTCAAAAGTTAAGTGCCCTTTAGTTTTGGGAACAGTATCATAAATCATAAATACATATTATAATCTATCAATAGATAATGCCATAAATTCACTTGTAAAATCTATTTAGGAATTGGCTATTTTTGTTTTCTCTTAAGTTCTAGACTAGTTTGAAGTATCATATCTGTTATAAAAAAATTTTAATTTCATCATCATTTTAGATTATATTTTTTACCACCAAACCTGGGTAAGAAATTCAATAAACAAAAATTTTTCCCAGCATTTATTTAATAAGCATTAATATTTTGTGAAAGGTAACCCCACTGTCCCCCAATTCTCTTATAAGTTATTTGTTCCATGCCTTTCCTTACATCCTTTACCTCTCTGCCAGAGGATCAACTGTCCTTCATTCTGTCTCAGGCCAGTCCTTCCCATTTTACGCAGTTTATTTTGGGACTGTACTCGAATTTCTCTCTGTCTCTTCGTGACTGCGTTCTAATCTCTTGCTCTTGCTCTCTCATTGTCTTGAATCTTAATTAAGCCTTACCGTCTTTGCTCCCTTTTCATGCCCTCAGCAAGTAAATGAATTTGGGTATTTCCTGTTCTGGACAAAGAGAAGCCTTTTCTTGACCCTGTTTCCCTGTCTGGCTTCTGTTTAGGCCCTCTCTTTTCCTCTTCATCTGTTTCTTTGGTGGTATTGTCTAGAAAACTTAATTACCAGTTACTAAATTCATGTTTCCTCTCCTTTATCCTTCTGCATTCTGGCTTCTGGCTACAACACTTGCATAAAACAAGATTATTGGTAACTAATTGCCTGATCCAAGAATATTTTACAGTCCTTATTTTACTGGATGTATTGGCTGTATCTGAGATTAACAACTCCGTCTTTTTTGAAATCTTTTGAAATCTGTCCATTCTATTGGCTTTTTGATACTTTGTGATAATTTCTATTCCCTGTCCTTCATAACTACTTTTGTTTTTCTTGCCTTAAATGTCGACATTTATCAAGACCCAGAACCTAACTTTTTGCACTGTACATACATTCCTTGAGAGACTGAATCTATTTCTGTGCTTTTACCTACAGTTGACTCATAAATCTCTTCTTTAAGTTTCAGATTGACTACAGGAGTTTCAGGATGACTGTTTGATTGTCTATAAATCCTAATAAGTTCTGTGTTTCTTCTCCTATATATTCTTTTTTATTTGGTGGCACTACAAGAATCACCCAAACTAGAAACCTAAGAATTATTCTTGATTCCCTATTCTGTCACACTGTCCCCACTTACTAATTACCTAGTTTTTTGGTAATGACTCCCTAAACATTTATTGAATTTACTTTTTCTGCTTTGACCCTCTTACTACTTCCCCTCGCCTTAGATCTTTGTTATTCTTTGTCTGCTGAAACAGCCCCTTGCCTTTGTCTTAATTCTGTCCAGTCTGTCTTCTATACAATCTGTCTTCTATACTACTACCAAGATTATCTTATGATATATATATTTGATCCTACTGGTCTTGGAGACAGGTTTCTTGTTGCTTTCAGGATAATTTCCAAATTCCTTAATATGGAATAGAAATCACACCATAAACTAGCTGCCCTCATCCCATCTACTTCCTAACTCAAAGTCCACACTCTAGTAATACTGAATTGCTTATAAATTTCCTTGTATATCATGCTGTTTCTTTTTTCATGTGGATTTGTAGATGCTGTCTCTTTGTCACGTATGCTCTCCCCCTCTTCTTCAACTGGCTAACATTTGTAAATTCTAGGTGTCACTCTCCAAGTTTTTACTCATCCCAGTTACTCTCTGTGCTTACTGATGTCTGTCACTATTACTGTACTTTCATCATTGTCTGTTGAGGACTGGGATAGAATTTAGTCTTAATCATGTATTTGACTCCATCATTGAGCATAGTGCCTGACACACACTGTGTCTTCAATAAATATTTTATGATATGTGTGACAGAGGATATAAGACATACCATTGACATTTCCAGACTTAACATTTGTGGGTCATCTTGAAAGTACCACTTCATAGAATCATTGTGAAGATTAATAAAATTTCCAATATGACTTTTATCATGAGACTGTGCTCAGTTAACCTCCCTACTTCCTCCCTCTTTCCCTGCATACATATCATCACATCTCAGTTACTGCTATTTGAGAATTTGGGGATTCCTATAAATGTCACTTCCTGTCCATTATGTCATATTTTCAGGAATAACTGCTATCCATCATATAGTAAGATAAGTGGACAGAAGGAAGTATAGCCAAAGTGTAAAGGACTTCAGAGAGGGAGAGGACCTCTCTGTTCACTTCCTCAGGGCGTATGAGTTGTGATTTCTCCAAAGATGAATTAAATTCAAATGATTTGTATTAACATGCTTTAAAAATATTTAGACAAATGGAAGGACAAAAGAAAGGGGGAAGAAAAACTCAGTTTTTTTAAGGAGAAAAATACGTGCTTTTTAATTTTAATTTAAAAATTTTAAACTTTATATTTGTGTATTTCCAAGCCTGTTTTGGTTTACTGTAGCATGTCAGAAGAATAATAGAAACCAAGAGTCATATTTTATACTGTTATCAGGTGCTGTTTATGTATTTTACTTTCTCTGAAATCTAATTACCTTTGGGGTTTTTTTTCTCTCCTGATTTTGCATTTTTGCTGTTTTGTGTAGATCCTTCTGTTTTACGAGGCCCTCTCCTAGGCCACACGGATGCAGTCTGGGGTTTGGCTTATAGTGCAGCACATCAGCGTTTGTTGTCCTGTTCAGCAGATGGCACTCTGCGTTTATGGAATACAACGGAGGTTGCTCCAGCACTAAGTGTGTTTAATGATACTCAAGGTACATACTTAAAAAAATTATTTTGCTGAATTCTCTATAAAACAGTTTACTCTGAAAACAGGCAAGCAAATAAATGATTCTCTGAACTCTTTAAATATAATTTGAAAGTTTTTGAAGCAAGAAAAATGTATTTGTTTGAATTTCTTGCTCAGCCTCCTGAGTAGTTGAGATTACAGGAGTAGTTGAGATTACACAACCACACCTGGCTAATTCTTTTCTTGTTTTTTTCTTTTTCTTTTTTTTTTTTTAATTGTACTGTAGGTTCTGGGGTATAATTCTTGTATTTTTTTAATAGAGATAGGGTTTTGCTATGTTGGCCAGGCTGGTCTCGAACTCCTGACCTCAAGTGATCCACCTGCCTTGGCTTCCCAAACTGCTGAGATTACAGGCCTGAGCCACCGCTTCTGACCTGTAATTTTTAAAAGCATAGTTTTCGGTGAAAGAAGAACACACAGATTTTAAATTTTTAGGGCCGGGTGCAGTGGCTCATGTCTTTAATCCTAGCACTTTGGGAGGCTGAGGTGAGTGGATCACCTGAGGTCAGGAGTTCAAGATCAGCCTGGCCAGCATGGTGAAACCCCCCTCACCTGTCTCTACCAAAAATACAAAAATAGAGCTGGGCATGGTGGCAGGCGCATGTAATCTCAGCTACTCAGGAGGCTGAGGCAGGAGAATTGCTTGAACCTGGGCAGCAGAGGTTCCAGTGAGCTAAGATTACACCACTTCATCCAGTCATCTAGCCTGGGTGAATTAGCGAAACTCCATCTCAAAAAAAAAAAAAATTAAAAATTACATATAATTTATAGTGAAAAACAGATATTAAGGATACATGTCAGTCAGTCTGATAAGTACACCCTTGTAAATCACACATCAAGATGTAGAGTCTGGGTGTGGTGGCTCACACCTATAATCCTAGCACTTTGGGAGGCTGAGGTGGGAAGATCACTAGAGCCCAGTAGTCTGAGACCAGCTGGGCAACATAATGAGGCTCTGTCTCTACATTTTCTTAAAAAAAAAAAAGACTTTATTTTCCCATTTTCGTACTACTATAAATACCTGAGACTGGGTAATTTGTTTGAAAAAAAGGTTTAATTCGCTCACGGTTTTGTATAGGAAGCATAGAAGCTTCTGTTTGGCTTCTGGGAAGGCCTCAGGCAATGTACAATCATAGTGGAAGGCAAAGAGACAGGAGGTATGTCTTACGTAGCCAGAGCAGGAGGAAGAAGAGGGTGGGAGGTACCACATACTTTTAAACAACCAGATCTCATGAGAACTCTATCATGAGAACAGCACCAAAGGACAAAATCTACCCCATGATCCAGTCATCTCCCAACAGGCCCTGTCTCCCACATTGGGGATTACAGTTTGACATAAGACTTGAGTGGGGACACAGATCCAAACCGTATGAAAGACAGAACGTTTCCTTTATCTCCCCAAAGTTCCTTCCTGTCTTTCCAACTCAACGCTCTCTCCTTATTCCCAACCAGAGGTACCCACTGTTGTGATTTCTTTCATCATAGATTAGTTTTATCCACTCAAACTTAATGTAAATGGAATAATACAGTATGTGTTCTTTGTGCTTTTACTCTATAATGTCTCTGGAATTCATTTGTGTTATATCAATTATTTTTTTATTTGGTAGTATTTCATTAAGCCATAATTTGTCTGTTCATTTACATCTTGATGGATATTTGGATTACGTCTTGATGGATTTCTAGTTTTTTGCTATTTTGAACAAAGCTGCTATGAACGTTCATATATTTTCATTATAGGTGTGTAGAGACTTAGAATTGCTGGACTTTCAGGTGGATACTTATTTCACTTTATGTGAAATCACTAAATATTTTTCAAAAAATTTTGTTGTTATACCATTTTACACCATTGACAGCAGTGTATGAGAGTTCCAGTTGCTCTACACCCTTATGGACATTTGGTATTGTCAGTCTATTTAACTTTAGCCATTCTGGGGGATGTGTAGTAGTATTTCATCTTAGTTTGTTTGCATTTCTTTGATGGCTAATTATGTTGAGCATTTCTTTTGTTCGCATGTTGGTTATTTGTATATCTTCTTCTGCAGTACACACATTTTTGAACTGTTAGCTTGCTGTAGTTAGATTTTGAGCCAAATGAAAAAATTCAGATTATTATATTCACTTTATACATTTCCTTCTATTTTTTGTGTTTATAAATAAGCTCTAAGTTTTAATGTATTCTAGATGGTAAATAAAAATACCTTCCTTATTTTTGAGTTATTATAACTTCTCTCCAGGTTTTGATGAGTTGTCTTCATAGGATATTTGTATAACTGTAACAATAAGTAATAATTTAAAATTTTACTTTTAATTTCTCTATTTTTGATGAGCTAACATTCCTGATAAGAGATGGGTTTTTTTTTTTTTTTAATGAAAAATTCCCAGTATGCCACTCCAAGCTCCAGGTTGAATAGAAGCAGCAAAATTTGTAATTCATACATGTTTTCCATTTGCTTTCTGAGTAAAGGCTTGCATTCCATGAATGTATCAGCTGAGTAACAGGTAGAAGATCTGCTGAGCAGGTAAGGATAATATATAGACTGGTGCTAAAAGTTACAAAGAAATAATCTCCAATGAATAGTTATGAGCTAATTCTTATTCTTATGGTAAGCCTTGTTTACTTCTTAAGGAAACCATGCCGTTATTTGTTTTGCTATATTTTAAGCACATTGTTAAGTAGATGGTTTAATTGCCATTCTATTTCAATATGTTCTCTTTTAGAATTGGGAATCCCTGCCTCTGTGGATCTAGTGAGCAGTGACCCGAGCCATATGGTAGCATCATTCAGCAAGGGATATACAAGCATCTTTAACATGGAAACACAACAACGCATTCTAACTTTAGAATCCAATGTAGATACAAGTATGCATACCAATTTTAAATAGTCTGCGTTTTTTTAACTTAATCAAGATTATAACTACTAGAGTCAGCTGTGAAAAATGTTTGTCATTATAAAGCTTTCTGTCTCCTAAATCTCAGAAAACAGTTACTTAGAAGGATGTACTTATTTACATTTTAAGAATTTGGGTTAAGTTTATGTACATTTATAACTGTACTGTTTGAAATAGCATTTGAGCTATTCCAAAGATGGGTCAAGTTTTATTTTATACTAAATGATTAATTTTCAATTCTATTTGAAGAAAGCCATATTTATTCTGAATAGAAAATGAAATCTATTTTTCATTTCTCATAATTTCATATTTTAAATCAACCAAATTTTATATTAATAGCATGATTTGGTACAGCTCAGTACAGATCATATTGTGGCACTCAGAATTCCAAATCTGAAGCTTCCTATTGGATGCAGGAAGTCAGGAAGTAAATGCTTTTTCAGGTTATGAAGAAGATATTACAGTCTTTTTTTTGGTTTTTGGCTTTCTTAACAATCACTTTTTGTCATTAGCCATAATCCAGTCACAGTTTAGACTGCAGTTGATGAAGAATACCACTTACATATAGCATTGTTTTAATCTGAGAACTAGCTTTAAAAGTGATTACGCCGGGCACGGTGGCTCAAGCCTGTAATCCCAGCACTTTGGGAGGCCGAGGCGGGTGGATCACGAGGTCAAGAGATCGAGACCGTCCTGGTCAACAAGGTGAAACCCCGTCTCTACTAAAAATACAAAAAATTAGCTGGGCATGGTGGCGTGTGCCTGTAATCCTAGCTACTCAGGAGGTTGAGGCAGGAGAATTGCCTGAACCCAGGAGGCGGAGGTTGCGGTGAGCCGAGATCGCGCCATTGCACTCCAGCCTGGGTAACAAGAGCGAAACTCCGTCTCAAAAAACAAAAACAAAAACAAAAAACAAAAAACAAAAAAAAGTGATTACATGTTATATGTGTATGCATGTATATGTGAACATGTACATGCATATGTGTACATATGATCTTGTGTTGTTCTCATTCTCTGTCTCTTCTCTCAAAAGTTTCTTCATTCCATTGTGGTTTTCATCATTTTCCCTTCCTGATCTGTTGTTTGTTTTCTTCTGATATGCTGAGACTTGTTTGGGGAAGTAAGCATGAATAGAACTTTGAGCTACTTGGCTGTAAACGAGAGAGACAGGAAAATAAAAACTGAGATGATAGAATTGTAAAGGAGAATTTTTTTACCAAGAAACACAGGTTTTAGACACTCAATAAATTTAAAATCACATTTAAATATGTGACCCAAAGCTATAGTAGTAAAATAAAAAACTAACGTGAAATTAAAAATGATGAGAACATTTTTGTAATTACCTTCAGAGATAATATGACCAATTCTTAAACATCCTGAGTGGAAATAGTGCTTTTTAATGACTGCAGGTTAATAAGATGTCAAGTCTGGTGGATAAGATGGATAAAGAGAACTAGGCAAGTCCACATTTTCCCCCAAGAGATGTGACCCTAAATTGATAGGACTTTTTACCTGATACTGGAAACATTTTGAGAAGACTTCCAACAACGTTTTCAACAAAGACAACATTACCGGAATAAATGATAATTATTTTGAGTTGTAATATGTCTTAACATTTTCTAAATTAATGTTTTTTACTTTTAAGGTTGTATAAAGCAAACTTAAATTAGTCTTTTATTATGTTTTACTGTGAACTATCCCATGCTATTTGTATTTGATTGTGTTGTGTTGTTTTGGAATTTAGCATTTTTTTTTTTTTTTTTTTAATGAAAGTTAGGATCAAACAAGCTTCAAGGTGAAAGTGAATTTTATATAGAGTTTAAAGTGATGAAGGATGTTTGTTAGAATAGGAATTACCCTTTATCTCAGTGACGTCAGTGGCTGTGGTAAAGTCAATGACTGTGGTAAAGTCAAAGGTATTTGAAGCAGATATGTCACAAGCCAGGTATGAGTAGTGTTCTTTGCGTTCTGCCTACTTCTCTGATTTGTCATCAAGTGGAGAAGCTTCCTTAAAAGTATTACCAAATAAGAACTTTCTTTTGCCTGCTTCCATGATTTGATTTCAATCTTATTTATTTTCTAGCTCTCAAAGTAATTGAGGCTATTCTCTAAAACGTCTCTCTCAGAATATATTTATTCTGAGATATTTAAAGTATTTCTTTTTTTATTGTTACTGTTTTTCTCTTGCTGGGTTTTACAGAGGGTATTACTCAATGGAGTATTATCTGTGGAGGAAATAATGCATAGTCTGAATTTTGTAAATAAGCATCTCTTTGTTTAGGGTTGTCTAAATTAGGTGTAACTGACCAAGAACTTATTCCACATGGTCAAGTGAGTTTTTTGTTTTATATTTATTCTTTTGAGTTGGAGTCTCACTCTGTTACCCAGGCTGGAGTGCATTGGCATGATCTCAGCTTACTGCATCCTCCATCTCCTGGGTTCAAGTGATTCTCTTGCCTCAGCCTCCAGAGTAGCTGGGACCACAGGCGTGTGCCACCATGTCTGTCCCATTTTTGTATTTTTCGTAGAGACAGAATTTCACCATGTTGGCCAGGCTGGTCTCAACTCCTGACCACAAGTGATCTGCCCACCTTAGCCTCCCGAAGTACTGGGATTACAAGCATGAGCCACTACACCCAACCTTGTTTTATATTTAAATAACAGGCTAGGTAATTTACCTGCCACTCGCATTGGGGAAAGACTGTCTTCAGTTTTTAAGATGTCATATTTCTAGAAACCACATGAAAATCCAGTAAGATTAGACTATTTTTTAGCTATGTTTTCTATTATGTGAATATAAACTTGTAATACCTATTCTAGGGGTCAAAAAAATTTTTAAACTCTTTGTTTCGAAATACTTTTTAACTTAAAGAAAAGGTACAAAAAATAATGTAAGAACTCCTGGCCACCCTTCACCCATATTTAGCAGTTTTTAACATTTTGCCACATTTGCTTTTTCACTCTATATATGTGTATAATTTTTAACTTTGAACCATATGAGAGATATCATGCATTCCCCTAGATCCTTTAGCATGTAATTCCTAAGAACAAGGACATTCTCTGATGTAGCGCATTATAATTATCAAAATCAGGAAACTTAACATTGACACAATACTATTACCTGAGTTACTATTTATATTCAGATTTTGACAGTTGTTCAAATAATATATTTTACAAGGACACCCCTTCCTCTCCTTGGACCGTAATTTAATTTTTAAAACTTTGACATATCTTCAATTAGTGTTTTATTTATGTCAGTTTTTCTTTTTTCTTATAAAAAGCTTAACAGAAATCACTGAAGTTTTAAATTACTGATTTCTTTTTGATAAAAGCCTTTCAGGAAGAACTTGTGATCATTTAGGAACCAATTTTGGCAGTTGTGTGATTTGCATGAGCCGTCAGGTCGGAACAGAGTTAGAAGTTAGAACAGGTACTGATTTTGTCATCTGATTGTGGAGGAGTCACAACTTCTTCTGAACCTTGTGTTCACTGTAATATGGGGTTAATAATATGTGCTTGCCTGTCTCATTGTGCATATAGTTGAAGTTTCTTTGGAACCTAATAACACAAAAAATAGTTAGGATGCTAACTTTTAGGATTCCAAACCTGGGCCAGGCATGGTGGCTCGCCTGTAATCCCAGCACTTTGGGAGGCTGGGGCAGGCAGATCACGAGGTCAGGAGATTGAGACCATCCTGGATAATATGGTGAAAACCCTTCTCTACTGAAAAAACAAAAATTATCTGGGTGTGGTGACGTGCGCCTATAGTCCCAGCTACTCTGGAGGCTGAGGCAGAATTGCTTGAACCCAGGAGGCGGAGGTTGCAGTGAATTCAGATTGCACTACTGTACCCCAGCATGGCGACAGAGCGAGACTCCATCGTCAAATGATGACCATTTCTATTATGATGAGGAAGAGTGAAAAGGGGACTTAAGGATTAAGAAGCTTTCTTTTTCATATTTATCTTTAGATACTAACAATGTGATATAGAACTTTGTATGCAAAAAGAGCCGAGATTTAAATTTGGGAATTATCTCCATGTAAGTGATGATGGAACTTTATATTAAAAGTAGCAAAATCTCACAGAACATTGTAGAATGAACAGTGTTAGTGGCTGTAGAGTAAGCCTTAGATGGCACCCACATATAGCAGGAAATTGTAATTTAGAAATACTTCCAGATTTATCAGTGTAGCATAGTTCAGGCAGTTCTGTTTCCTAACATTGAAATTTTGAAAACAATCACAGAATAAATGAACTAAAGACAAATAAAAGTCACGTTATTTACTCATTATTATTATTTTCGAGATGGAGTCTGACTCTGTCACCCAGGCTGGAATGCGGTGGTATGATCTCAGTTCACTGCAGCCTCTGTCTCCCGGGTTCAAGTGATTCTCCTACCTCAGTCTCCTGAGAAGCTGGGACTGCAGGCATATGCCACCACACCCAGCTAATTTTTGTATTTTTAGTAGATATAATGTTTCAGCATGTTGGCCAGGATGGTTTCCATCTCCTGACCTCATAATCCACCCACCTCAGCCTCCCAAGTGCTGGGATTATAGGCATGAGCTACCACGCCCAGCCTACTTTTTCAATCTCTTAAGTAGATAATTTAATTCTCCTTTGTGTGAAAAATATCTTTGACTAAATTGTGTTGCTTTTTAATTTTTTCTGTTTAGCAGCCAACTCTTCCTGCCAAATAAATAGAGTCATCAGTCATCCTACTCTTCCGATCAGCATCACTGCTCATGAAGACAGGCACATCAAATTTTATGATAACAATACAGGTAAGAATTTATTAAGAAATGGTTTTTATTAAAGCAAAAAGAAAAAATATTCCTACCACAAGTAGGCTAATTTTGGTGTCTGTTGGTGGTTTCATAGTCAGGTAATAGGCGCTGAAACACAAATACTCTCCTGGCTCTATTTCTCTTCATTCCATCCAAATCTACTAAGACTAGTCTTTATTATACAATACAGAATCATTTTGGTTTCTTTAATAGTGAGCAGATGCTATATTTAGGCCTTAGAGCCAAGTTTATCACTATGGACACCAGGAAAAAATTTCTCAAATACCAATAAAAATGATCTGTTGCTATGATCTGTTGTAGTATTATATATCGGGGAAAAGTAGAAACATTGGAAGTAGAGGCATATGATGATTATATTTTATTTAAAATGTTCAATTATTGAATAACCTTATTCAATATCCAGTTATTAAGTTACCAGATAGCCTTTTTTAGTGTTGCAGATGGAAAACCTTGAGGTCATTTTATTCATTTTCTATGGACTAATCTTGTCTGTGTTATAAAACTGACTAGTTGGTCTTCATTGATTTGAATTGTGCATGGAGACTTGCCCAAGTTTTATTTTATTACATTTCACCAGTATAAAGGAAATTTACAAAGAGCTGTGCTGGAGGAAAGCACCCTATAATATCTGCCATATTTACCTAAGTATCTGCCATATTAATTTGTTGACTTTTGCTGACTTTGTTTAGCTGCTGGTGGTGAGTCATTTAATATTTTAAATTCTTTTCTATATGTTGTATCCACCAAAATTGTGGCCATGTTTTCTTTCTGTCCTCTTTCTTTGCCTCATTGTTTTTTCTCTGTGAATTTGAATTCTATATTTCCACAACTCAATTTGCCAGTAGCTAAAGGATGCAAAGTAAGTGATTAATAATGTCTAAGTTCTAATTAACAGATGTGGCTTAAGGGGTGTGTTTAGAAATTACTGACTTCCATATTGTGGCTTAAAAGACAAAAGTATAGTCTAAAATTTGAGCTTTTTTGTTTTTTGTATCACTGCCATGACTAGAGGCAAGAGGGAAACATGTTGTTTTAGTCGATGGAAAAGGCATTAATACAGTAAGCACACAGAGAGGGATGACTGGAGAAACCAGCATACTGAAGATGAGGAACGGCATTGGCATTAATAAGGAGTAACAATCTCTTTTTCCAAAGGCAAACTGATCCACTCGATGGTAGCCCACCTAGAAGCTGTTACAAGTTTAGCAGTTGATCCTAATGGCCTTTACTTGATGTCTGGCAGTAAGTACCTCAAGTATGGATTATTTATTTGTCCTTATCATTTTGATGTTAATGTAATTTTTCATTTCAATTTTTTTTTTTGGTATAGGTCATGACTGTTCAATACGTTTATGGAATCTAGAAAGTAAGACGTGTATCCAAGAATTCACAGCTCATCGAAAGAAGTTTGAAGAATCGATTCATGATGTAGCTTTCCACCCATCCAAATGCTATATAGCCAGTGCTGGAGCTGACGCACTGGCTAAAGTCTTTGTATGACGCAGTGCATCATCTTCACCTTCTAGCTGTTTATAAGTAATCAACTGCACAAAAGAGATACAGAAGATGAGGGCAAGAGTCAATTCATCCTGCCCTTTTGTTCTGCTGAAGGAGCACAGAGAACATTTGTTGAAGTATAGTTTTGCAATTCATATACTGTTTTCTAAAACTAAGGTTTGTTCAGGTTGCTGCAAGCTCAGCTGAATCTGTGAGCTAGAGGTCTGTTTCAGATTTCTCCCAATAGGCGCCTTTATTTCTGAGGTTGTTCTAATTCGCTAGGCAGGCCTGAGCGAATAAAAGTTTAGCTTGTCCCTATTGAGTAAGTAGGGCATGCTGCAATGGATAATTAAGAGGCTTGATAGCTGGGACTAAACAGAAGAAAAGTGGGAAACTTAGACCAAGTTCTCTTTTGAGAAATCTTGTTAAACACATTAAGTAGTCAAAACAGTAATCTTTATCATATCTGCCATACTAACCCTTTTGTGTTTAATGACCAGGCAGTGTTAAACTGACTTTTTAATTTGGTTCTCCTTTCAGCTCTTCACATAAAGCACCTGGCAAAGCATTTTACCTATTAGGGGGAGAAAAATGCAATAATACTTTAAATATATTACTATTCAGAAATGCTAAACAAATACTTAGTTTGCAAGCAGATTTCTATATTGTATTACAGTTTTGAAAATAGATTTGGTATCATTCTAAAGTTTAGCTATCAAGCACTCACCATTGTGAAGAATAGTTGATGGACACTGCTTTTACTAAAGGATTTAACTTATTCAGGTTTGAAATTTTGTTTATTTTTAAGGGTAAACAGGGCATATCTCTATAATAATTTCTATTTTAAAATTCACTTTATTCATGTGACATTTCTAGTACCAGAGTGATTATTTCATACTAATGAAATCTTACTTTTCAGTGACTGAAAAGATGGAAGTTATTTGCTAATACTCATTTATCAACACCCATCTAATGATGCTCTTTCTTCTTTGTCTGTCACATTCAAGTTATCTTACATCTACCAAGAATAGTTCAAAATTATTGAGTCCAAAGAATATGGTTAACTTCATGCAGCTGCTTTTGCAGAAGTACTAATAAAAGCAAATGTTTTGTATCCCAGAAGTCCTCTATTAATCTCTCTAAGAATAATCTCCTGGAAATCTGAATGAAAGAGTTCATTGCCAAATATTAACTAAAAAGTTCTGTCTTTCTCTCTCCCTATTCCTCCCCCATTGTTTAATTGAGATATACATGTTTTAATAGGCAGTGAATCAGTATTGTTTCTTGGGAAATCCATACCTTAAAAGGCCAGGCTTAGGCCGGGCGTGGTGGCTCACGCCTGTAATCCCAGCACTTTGGGAGGCCGAGGCGGGTGGATCACGAGGTCAAGAGATCGAGACCATCCTGGTCAACATGGTGAAACCCTGTCTCTACTAAAAATACAAAACATTAGCTGGGCATGGTGGCGCATGCCTGTAATCCCCGCTACTCAGGAGGCTGAGGCAGGAGAATTGCCTGACCAGGAGGCGGAGGTTGCCGTGAGCCAAGATCATGCCATTGCACTCCAGCCTGGGTAACAAGAGTGAAACTCCATCTCAAAAAAAAAAAAAATTTTCCCAGCCCAAATTCCTGTGACCCACCTACATGTGGTCAGCTTTTGGGATTTCTGGGACACCACTATCTAGACCTAGTCTACCCTGTCATACAGACCTTATTTCTATAGCTGTTATGTCTCTCTCTATTGTCTTTCTTCTTTGTCCCAAATGCCACAGATTATTCTAGAAATTAGAAATAAATTATTAACGTCCAACTTGCCACCAAAAAAATATAAATAAGCTCTTAGATTTAAAAAGATATTAAATATATAAATATTTTAACCAAGTAAAACGATTTCTACATATTCCATTCCCCACATTTTCCATCATCATAACAGTGACACTTCTTATGATATGTACATCTCCTTGAAAAAGTATTCTGTTGGTGATGTGGCTAATGATTGACAGTATTTCTATAAAATTTCTGCTTGTTTGCCCCTAGAATTCTGCATTATACAGGCAAATTTTCTTTAAATACCTGTGCTAAATTTGCCTGATTCTCATACAGATATGCCGTAGTATTTTTAACACAGCTACCTTTTCATTTCATCTTTGTACTTTGATTACAAGCAGTCTTAAGAGACTCCTTTATGTAATTAAATGAATTAACCTAAACATGAGCTATCAGGTGAATGCTTATATTTCCTTGCAGATACAGAATTCCATATTGTGTTCGATAAATTTCTTTTGGTTCTTCATAGTGAAGAAAGAATGTTTCTAACCTAACATTTGTAGAAGGATACTGGAAAATTCCTTCCAGGAAGGAAGGAAGGTGCCATTACTTAGTGTATTTATGATGGATTACCACAAAACTATTATTCTACCAATTATTGTTTTAATTACCTTCTAAGATCTTCAGTACCTGCTTTACTAATGTCACTGAAATTCTGAAAACCAAGACATTCTTCCCTGTTCATTTTACGCTTCATGGTTGAAATTTTTCTGTTAGTAAGTGGAAAATAACCATGAGATACGTAGACTATAGTGCAAATGGAACTGTTGAAAGTTCCGTAGAAAGCCAGTGCAGTGCCATTGGAGACTATAGAGAGAGTCTTCTCTACCAATACTGCATGATCTCAGCCTAGAAATGAGCCAAAGCTGTCTTCCATCCAGAGTAGCATATACATGTGTCTGACTTTTCCCCTAGCCTGTTGAACATTCAATGAAACTTCACAGAATGAACAAATTCAGTATTTACACAGCCATTGAAATGCTTTTGTAGAGCTTCATTTGTAAATATTTCAGATGAAACTTATTGGAATAGTATGAAAATCAGCAGGAGGTGTGAATCCCTGCCTTATTTTCATATGCTATGGATACATCTCTGGGAGCTTGCAGCACCCTTCTCAAAACTCAGCTGTCATATAGAGCTCATTTGCTACTCAAACCATAGACAGGTATTTAACGTAAGTGATACAATGACCTTCAGTATTTTTCTAATGAACAAGTTTAGCAACTTTTGCCATTAAACAGATACTTAGTTATGCAAAATATTTAGCTTTTATAATCATTTTAGTTATGACCAAAAGGGGGGAGATTGAGCTGCATCACTGATGATGAACTTTGTGAGAAATTTTTTTTTAAATCTGACTTTCATTCCTTCAGTATTCTTGCTATAAATTTCTTTTGGAAATAATGAAGATTTATTTGAAAATGTCTAAAATGTATATTTTATAAATATATATTATATATATTGTAAGAATATATATAATATATAAACTATATATATATAAAACCATAGGTGCATTTTACTGTTTTGTATTTTCATTTTTGGAGGTAGTATGCACAGCAGATGATGAGTATGATGAGTGTTGTGCTGTTTGCTTTTGCAGTATAATATATAGTTCTAAATGTTTAAATTACTGTATATACTATATTCATTATAGGCTAGCATGCTTGTTTTAAAGACTGTCATTCTAGTGTATTAAAATCTGAATGTAAGAAAACCTGGCTATTCAAATGTGAATTGAAAAATATTTTATTCTCAGTTTTGAACTTCCATTGAACATTCAGGCTTTTTAACAAAAACATCAAGAAGGCAATAGCTAGAAAATGAGAGGTGCCTTTAAAAATATATATATAAAAATGCAGCCTTACAGTGAGGATGAAGATTGAGTTTGGGGCCGGGGTTGGGGGGGGGGGGCGCAGAGAGAGAGGGAGAGAGAGTTTGTGTGTGTGTGTGTGTGTGTGTGTGTGTGTGTGTGTGTGTGTGTGTTTACCAATCTGTGAAGGTCCTGATTTGTGACCATCAATGTATTTTTAATATATCTGCTCAACTTCTAGGACTTCAGGGGACATTTCATGCGCTTTGTGCTCTTTTGAGTACCATATATACTTTACAAGAATTTTGAATGTGAATTCCTAGAAATTTCAGTAGAGAAAATATAGCTATTCTTTAATTGTAGTAAAGTTCAGGTAGAAGGAGAAATTATTGGTTCACCAAAATTATGGGATCTCATTAATGTTGGCTAAGTAAATGTCATTTTTTAAAGGCTCACTTTTTAATATTTCATGTATTTCCCTCTTACAAAACAGCATGTTATGAAGTTCTTATGTGATAAAGATTTAACTAGTAAATATTATTTTTAGGAATTACCTGAACTAGTTAAAAATTCCACCTAAGAATAGTCTTAAAATATTTAAATGGCATCTCTCATATCTACCTCTTTGTCATTGCTGCCATTTTAACTGAAGCAAATCTTTATGACATCTGAAATGATGGTTGGATGCAATTAAAAAAATCTATGTTGGTGCTTTTCTCAGGCTTTATCATTTAAGTTATATTAAGATGTCACAAATCAGATTGAAAGGTTTTGTTTTTCTTTAAAAGAATTGCTTAAAATTAACCATCAATGTGGTTAGTCAGTGGGGATAATGGATCTTTGGTTGGTATATGTCTGTGTGATGTTTTCAACCAATAGCCAAATTATTGAACTTAAATGAAAAAGAGTTCTAACTATAATTTTATTCAGAATACTTTATTCTTTGAAAGTGATTTCAAGACTATTAAGTACATAATCATTCATTTTATTTACTCAGAAATTACCTCTCCATTACTGTTACTTGTTTAGTTATTTATACAATGGCAGTACTTTAAGTGTTTGACACTGGGATTCAGGTTGTACAAAGTAGTAGCTGACAAAAATATGTATTTTTTTGTGAAATGTGTCAAATCCTAAAGTTCATTTTAGAGAAAGGCCCAGAAAACATCTGTGTTTGAAAACAAAGTACAGGTCATTTGTGAATAATTGGCATAATTTTTACTTTTGTCTTGTAATTGGCCATATCCATCATCCAACTGGATCTTCATGTCAGTGTAAGGGATGCCAAGTTGACAAAGTATTTAATAGATTCTTTGCATCAGTTTTTTTTTTGTTTTGTTTTTTTTTTTAATTCTAAAAAAACCCAAATGTTTGGCCAAACAGATCCCTAGATCCCACTCATTGATTCTAGCAGTATTCCTGAAGTGGTGCTTAGGGGGTCAGAATTTTCTGGATCTTTGCTAATCCAGGCTTTAGATTTTATTTAACCGGGACCATATGCTTGTCATTTCTCTGATGCAAATTTTCAAAATCATTTTAATTTGGATTAACTCTAATGTCTGCCTGGGTTTTTAACAGGCTGTGAACCAGTGAGTGCCTTGTTAATGTAGAATGATTTTTTCCCCCCTGGGTGGGTGTTAGTTAGCTCCTCTCTGAAGATGTCTCAGAGAATGGTGTATTAATTGACTTGTAGAGAGCTGCTAAATTTGATATCATCAGCAGTCAGAAAGTCTTTGGTTTACCACGTCTCCCTCCCTGCTATCTCCTCATTGTTTGGCTGAAGTTTGCCTCTTGTGAGAAAACAATACAACTCCCCTTCTCCACACTCTTTTTTTTTCCAGCCCAGATGAAGAGGTATCCCCTACTCCCATCCCAACTCTATGGTCTAATACTTGTTTTTAGGAGGAACCACTTCTTTTATTTAATATTGAAATCTGCTGTTTATTTTATGTCTTCTCAAGTTCAGTTGACTAGAGCTAACCACAGGGTGTATCATCAGTTCAGTTTCCTAAATAACCCTTTCTTTCCACACCCAGTCCTCCAGCTGGTGAGCCCTGGGCCAGATTGTTTGATCTTTAGGTATTTTAAAATTTAGTTACATCAATTAATGTAAATTAATCCAAATGCTAATTTTTGTGGTGCCAGAAGTTTCTTTTGTAAATTCAGGGTATGGATAAGCTAATTAAGATAACCATCTTTGGTGGCTCTAAGTGTATTATTTGTTTTTAAATAAAGTGTACAAATACAGATAATGTGCTATAGGTGTCTCATGAATTGGAATGTTTGTCAGGTTTGGAATCTGGCTGTGACTTTACAGTGAATCAGTTAACATAGTCTGATTTGGGGCATTTGGGGGTAGGAGTTGTAGAGGAATGCAGAGAAATATAAAAGGATATTAGATAAAGTATATGTGAGTCCAAAATTAATGAACCAGTCTTAATTACTGATTATGAGGAAGGAGAAGTTCATCACTACAGAGA